ATAAAAAGTCTCGTTTAAAGTTTGCCACAAGCCACCTGGGAGACACACCGAACATGTGGAAGAAGGTGCTCTGGTCAGATGAAACCAAAATAGAACTTTTTGGCCACAATGCAAAACGATATGTTTGGCGTAAAAGCAACACAGCTCATCACCCTGAACACACCATCCCCACTGTCAAACATGGTGGTGGCAGCATCATGGTTTGGGCCTGCTTTTCTTCAGCAGGGACAGGGAAGATGGCTAAAATTGATGGGAAGATGGATGAGCCAAATACAGGACCATTCTGGAAGAAAACCTGTTGGAGTCTGCAAAAGACCTGAGACTGGAACGAAGATTTATCTTCCAACAGGACAATGATCCAAAACATAAAGCCAAATCTACAATGGAATGGTTCACAAATAGACATATCCAGGTGTTAGAATGGCCAAGTCAAAGTCCAGACCTGAATCCAATCGAGAATCTGTGGAAAAAGCTGAAGACTGCTGTTCACAAACGCTCTCCATCCAACCTCACTGAGCTCGAGCTGTTTTGCAAGGATGAATGGGAAAGAATTCCAGTCTCTCGATGTGCAAAACTGATAGACATACCCCAAGCGACTTGCAGCTGTAATTGCAGCATAAGGTGTCGCTACAAAGTATTAGCGCAAGGGGGCCGAATAATATTGCACGCCCCACTTTTCAGTTTTTTATTTTAAAAAAAAGTTTAAATTATCCAATATATTTTGTTCCACTTCACGATTGTGTCCCACTTGTTGTTGATTGACAAAAAATTAAAATTTCATATCTTTATGTTTGAAGCCTGAAATGTGGCGAAATGTTGAAAGGTTCAAGGGGGCCGAATACTTTCGCAAGGCACTGTATATATATATATATGCACACACACAAATAACCTTTTTTTTTTTTTTTTTATTACATGACAAAAACAGAAACAAAGATATTTACAATATATGCAGAAATTGATGACATTCATGATAAAGAGAAAGGAAGTGAGGTATTATATAAAATTAAATGACTTTATAGAGAGGTTAGATTGAAAGAAAGGGCGCTAAAGGGAGACGATCATCTAGAGTTGATGTGTTATGGGTTCTAATAATTTGACTGTGGAGTTGGTTTTTTTGCTGTTTATTAGGGTTATAGACTTAATGTAGCTCTTGATTTCGAGAGTGACTGCTTGGGAGGATGGATTGGTTTTACTGTATTTGCATCTATGTATGTGCTGTTTGCCAAATAAAATGAATATGTTGGTGATTCTTTCGATTTTATTGTTTTGGTGAGAAAAGTGGGTGATAATGTTTCTGTCACAGATAGTTATGGAGATATTTAGTCTTTGGGAGAGGTATTGACTGATCTCTTTCCAGAAAAGCGTGATGAGTGGGCATGAGTAGAATAAGTGTTGAATAAATTCTGGAACTGTATTGCAAAAGGAGCAATTTGGATCTATGTTCATGAATTTTGAGACTTCGGAGTTTGTGGGGTAGATATTGTGTAGAATTTTGAGATGAGTTTCACGTATTTTATTATTAATGGGGAATTGGTAGGGTAACAGCCATGTTTTATGCCAGTTTATATTATCAAAGGTGGAGTTCCAAAAAAATTTCCCTCTGGGTTGAATGCTTTTCATATTTTGAAATATTTGTCGAATATGTTTATTGTTGCATTTGTGATTAGTGATGTCCAGTCCATTGAGAAAAAGCTTTGTGGTCATTATGGTTGGAGTGAGTTGTGAAGCTCTCATTAAGTGTAATAGTCCATCGGGAATGCATTTTGTAACAGCTTTGTACTGTTTGTACCTGATGGGAAACTGGAACTTAGAAAGAAAGTTATCATAACTTAAAATATTGCCATGAATATCGATTAAATTGGAAACTGTAATTATACCTTTGTCGATCCATGATGATTCAAAGATTGATTTCTTGCGCTTTAATATGTATTCATTATTCCAGATAATGCAGGTGTGTGGGGAGAAGTTGTGGATGTGACAGAGCTTCCACGCTGTAAGGGCTTGTTGATGAAAATTAGAGAGTTTTATTGGAAGTTTGTTGATATTGTAATTGCATTTTAAGATAAAATGAAGACCGCCTATTTTATTAAATACTAGGTTGGGGATGAGGTACCATATTGAGTTCAGGTTTTTTAATGCCTCTTGAATCCATTTGATTTTAAATGTGTAATTCATATCGATGAAATCCAGCATTTCGATCCCCCCTTCTCCTTTTGAACCTGTGAGAATATTGGTTTTAAGATAATGTTTCTTGTTTTTCCAAATAAAGTTGGTAATTGATTTATTGATGTCCTTTGCAGTACTGTTGTTTACGTAGAGAGAGAGGGCAGGGTAGACAAGTCTTGCGATGCCTTCCGTTTTGGACAGCAAGGCTCGGCCAAAGATGGAAATGTCTCTTTGTAGCCACATGTTAAAAATGGTGGTAGTTTTCTTGATCCGGTGTGCAAAATTTTGTTGTTGGCGTTCGTGGTTATTTTTGCATATGTGGATTCCAAGATATTTTGTATTGTTTTTCACAGAGATGTTGCAAATATGGTGATCCTGTAAACTATACAGAGGTAATATCTCACATTTATGCTTGTTTAGTTCAAGACCAGATGCAGCAGAAAAGTTGTCGATTAAAGAAATTGCAGGGGCGACTTGGTGTTTGTCTCTTAAAAAAAGAGCAGTGTCATCAGCTAATTGAGTAATTCTTATTTCTTTACTGGCTATAGTGATCCCGTTGATGACTGAACTGTTTCGAATATACAATGAGAGTACTTCAACCACTGTTAAAAAAAGAAAGGGTGCAATGGGACAGCCCTGTCGGACCGATCTGTGTATTGCAAATCTCGGCGTAGTGTTCGGATAAAGAATTATGCTGCTGTTAATATTTTTGTAGAGCATTTTGACATTTTTAATAAATTTGGGACCGAAACCAAAAAGTTCAAGCGTTTTAAATAAGAAGAAATGTTCAACAGTATCGAAGGCTTTATAAAAGTCAAGAAACATAATAAGTGCTTCTGTCTCTATGAGATCAGAGTAATCAATCATATCTAAAACTAGTCTTATATTGGAGCTTATATGTCTATTTGCCATAAATCCGGTTTGAGTTTCATTAATGATCTCGGGTAATCCTTTCTTTAACCGTTTGGCAAAGATTTGAGCAAGTATTTTGTAATCTGTGTTTAATAAAGTGACAGGGCGCCAGTTTTCTATTAAGAGTGTGTCTTTTCCAGGTTTGGGGATGAGACTTATCGAGCCTTGTGTCATACTGGCGGACATCTCCTCTTGCAGTATGCATTGTTGATAAAGCTTAAACAAATGACTTTCAATAAGGTCCCAAAAATGAATATAAAATTCGGTTGTAATACCATCGTTTCCAGGTGAGCGACCAGTATGCATGTTTTTCAAGGCTTCCTTCATTTCTTTAGTTGTAATGTTTTCGTCACAGTTTTGCTTGAATTGCTCAGAAATTGAGGGAATAATGTTTTGAATGGAGTCCAGGAACTCTTCACTTATTTTGTTTTGGTTTGTTGATTGGTAAATCTGGTTGTAAAAGGAAAAGATAGTGTTAGAAATTTCTTTAGGGTCAGTGGTTATTTTACCATTTGAATTGAGTGATGTGATATTGTTTTTGCTGCGATTTCTTTTTTCTAGAGCAAAGAAATAACTTGTGTTTTTTTCGCCGTTCTCTAACCATTTTGCTCTTGACCTGATAAAAGCTCCTCTTGCCAGTTCTATGTAACTCTGGTCTATCTTGTATTGAATTTCTTTTCATACGGGGATTTGCCGACCCGGCGCCATTTGTGTTGGCGATTGCTGTGGGCAAAACAATAGAAAAAGAAGCTGAAAACGTGTTAATTCTTAGTTTTTATTTTCCAATAAATTATTTTTTGTTAATCGCGCATGAGAAGGATCGGTGTCGCGTCCGAGGCTCTCGAGGGCAACGTAAATGTATTAAATAGATAATAATAGTTCTATGGTGGGCTAAAACAATGTTCACAAACAGCATTGCTTCTGTAAAAAGATCTGTGTCATAAAATAAACTGCTCTTTACGCCTGGAAAAATCAGTTGCCCACCATTCACCAAAACATACGGTCAAAAACGCGGAAATAAACAATAACAGCAATCCAGAGTGTCCGTGTGGCATTAGCATTAATTAAATTAATTGTTAATATAATTAAAATAATTAAATGGAGCTCCAACTGGTATTAAATCTAAAGTTTTTGAGAAATGTTTGCATTGCTTGTTAATTTTTGCTGCATAATTTGATCAAATATGTAAAACATGTCCGTAGCACGTTAAACTGTGGTGCCATTGTATTAATATACAATTATTTGCTCAAAAGTTGCCCTTTTTTTCCAATTTGCGTTTGAATATCTACATTTATTCTCATTCTTCTGTTTAATGGAATGCACAAACACAGCAGCGTGCCATCAAAGATGGCGTCTCCGAGGAGGTCATGTGACATTCATTGGTCTGTGGGAACTATGTATAAAACGAAACAAAAAAGTGGAGGAGGTAAGTTTTGAGTTAACTTACCAAAAAATGAATGTCAAAAAGAAAAAATGTAAACTAAGAATGGTGCCAGACTATTGCACAGACTATATCATGATTTTATAATTACAACAGTGTACCAAATTGATATAGGATTTTGCAGATGGATAGTAAAAAAAGAATAAATAAAGATGGGGAGCCTGTAAAGTGGAAAAAACAAACCGACTTCTTTCCCCTTGTGCCTTGAACACTGAAGTCCCATTATCAACCATAACATTTTCTGAGGCACTTGTTGGAACAACTTGGCAACGTCAAAAGTTAAACAGAGTCAAATACACATCCAATGATTACTCGATTAAGCAACCACATTTATGAAACATAAAGTGTCCAGATAATGATCTAGTGATGAACCAAATAATCAATCATAATTAGCGAAATAAAAAGTGTCCAGACCAGAAAGTAATTTAACGTGAAATCAATTAGTCAATCGTGGTAATCCGTTTCGTGATATAACACAATATTACCTGGGGTCAGTGGACAGTTTTACTTCTTTACCGTCAATGTAGCCTCGTACGCCCACAAAGAAAGCCCTTTTCCCCTGCTTTCTGGCTTCTTCGATCAGGGGCCACAGCGCGCTGCGAATGGCTCGGTCTCGGGCAGTGAGGTCCTCGGAGAAGCGTAGTCTGCGTGTCCGGAGAATCTCAGCCTCTTTGGAGCGCTGCCAGATGAGATCCCGCATGGTTCTGGAAACGAAGCGGATGATGATGGGTCTGGTGGAGGTCTCCATCTTTCTTCCCACCCGATGACAAACGTCAATGAAGAGATGAAGGGATTCACCGGTGTCAGGAGCCACAGCAGAACAAATATCAATCATCATTTTTTTAACATTCTCTCCTTCTGATTCCTTCAGCCCGTGGAGTCGAAGGTTCCATCGACGATTGTATCTCTCACTATCATTCAGCTTTTCTTCTAGTTCTTTGATTTTTGTTTCATGTTTGAGGGAACTTTTTTCGACGACTGCAACTTTGGACTGGATTTCGACAAGTTGTTCATGGTAAAACTCAGAACTTTTTATCAGCTCTTTTATCTCGGCCTTGTTCTCCTCGATCATCTTTTCAAGTTTAGCTTGACCGTCGGTCATGTCTTTACGAGAAGCTTTGATCTCCTCTAGTATATCGTAAAGACTGGGCTCGGATCTACCTCTTTTTGGATCAGGGGTAGAGCTGTCTGACGCAGAGTCCAGCTGAGATAAGTCCTCGGTCGGAAATGAGTGGAGTTCGTTGCAGTTTTCCACAAAAGAGGTTTGTACGCCTTGAGAGGGGAGGAGAGGTTTTGATTTGGGATCTCTACCTCGTTTGTTATCTTTGACATCAGACATGATGAGGACGAGAGGTGAAGGGAGTGACACCGTGAGTGCACACACACAGCTCAGGCACGGCGTGGTCCGTTCTCCTTTTGTTTGTGCAGGAAACTTATCGTCTGCTTATGAGTTCACAGATTGTGCTACCAGTTGATCCGGGTTTTCTGGTTGCTTACATGAAGGTCAGGTAGTGGCACATTTGTGCAAAGTTAGGCACCGCAATCGCTAGTGTGCAGAGAGAGCACAGGTCGCAGCCATCTGCACACAAATAACCTTTTCATTTACAGCTGAATGAGGAAGTGACATACAATGTTGTGATGATAAGACTTTCTCTACAGCGCCTTCAGCTGCACAGGCTGCTGTTACAGACGCCATACGTGGAGTGGGAGCGCCATCTACTGGTCAACAGTGAATCACAGGTTTGTCAAGAGAACTGTTGAAGATGCACTTAAGGACAACCGGAAACACGATTTATTAGTCGGTAATGACTGAAAGGGCGCTCCTTTTGTAGGGTTGGGATCTCAGTCACACGGGAGCCCGGAGTAGAGCCACTGTCCCGCCACATGAAGAAGCCAGTTGAGGTGGCTCGAGTATTTGTATTAATTCTCTGTAGCTCCACAGATCACTGCTTTTAACATCCAGGAAGAAAGGGGACGGAAGAGAGGCGTCAGAAGGGAGAGTTTGGAGATGGGATTAGGCAAGTTTCATTGTGTACTGAAAGTTCTCTTTAAATGTATCTACAGGGAATTAACAGTTTGACCATAGAAATGGTGTAATGCATATTGATGACGTGTGATAGGGTAAATCAGGTGTAGTGTATGCAGATCCTCTTCAACAATCCTCTTTTGGCTCATAACTATTGATCTCTATTTTACATTCTTCAATTTCCTCATGTTATTGATCTGAAACAACCTGAATAGAAATGTTCCACTAAACCATGGCAACCTCCAAGTACCTAGCGTTTTGAGTAGTACTGAGGGTTGGAAAAGGTTAAGTTAAGGTACGGTTAAAGTCCTGTGGGGTTAAAATTATCCTCTTGACAGGTGTAATGGAAAATTACTATTTAGATTAAAACATGAAATACAAATCTTTGTTAAGGTGGTCCTTTATTCGTTACACAATTGGGAAATATCAGTTTGATGCATATACATACATATATACATATCAAGGCAAGCAGCAAACATCACTTCCGTGCTCCTTGTAGGCAAAGTGGGGTTAAGTGTCTTGCCCAAGGGCACGACAGCAGACATCAGGCGTCTGTGGAGAAGGTCTCGTGGTGGGCTCAAACCCACTGCCTTTATGCTCAAAGGCCAATGCTCTACCAACTGAGCCAGTGTCGCCTCAGTGACTTCAGACACTGGCACTAGATATGTACTAGTCACCATAATTTATGAAAATATGGTCAGCATCTCTTCTTTTACTCGTACCCCTCTATGAACTCTCGCTCCCCTTTCTTTCTGGATGTTAAAAGCTATGATCTGCTCTTCTTCTGGGCAGAAATTGACATACCTTTCAGTTTTACTAACATCTTCTGCCAAAACTAAAATCCTCATTTATACAAACATCTTTGTCTTTCATTCCTTAATTAAACCACACACGACACTTATTCTTGATCATTATAGAACTGGCCATAACACAGGTTACTACTCACCATCTCCAGGACCAACTCCAGGCTTACTAACGTTTATCCTGTAAGAGCACTTTCCGATCATATTGTCTTTCAAGTTAAATAAATAAGGACACACATGATGTGCATTAGCATTTTAATTGGACAAAGCAAAAAACATTGAATACAGTTGCAGAGTCATGAGTTTGAGGGCGGACTCCTTTTTCTAAACAAAGGGGTCTGAACATGGTTTGTAGGCACTGCCCAATTTAAAAAGAGTATCATGTCAGCTAAAAGAAACCAGCTCTATAAGGCAACAGTTCCAGGCCTCTGTCATTCCATCTAGAGAGAAGATTCCATCATTCAGATCTGATATAAAATACTGGCGGTTCAATAGATATTTAAAAAAAACCTCAAGTGTCCATCAGTAGGCCCTGTCACATGTGACATGTGGTACATTTTAGCCCAGTTTCCATTAGCCCTACTCGGCTGCACAAATCTCTACTTCAGTCTCCCCTGATTGGAAGAGTTTCCACTGGCCCTGTTTAACCGGTACCAGGTCCTTCTTTTGTCCCACTTGGCACTGGTTCTATCCAGGTCGAGCTGGTACTTAAGTGTTGTAACCGACAGTGATTGGGCAGAGTGCTCCTGGAAGCCATGGTTACTAAGGAATTTCCCTGGTTAGTTGTTTGTAGGCTGCAAGGATTCAGTATCAGAATCCAACATATAATGGCAATTCAACCAGATAGAGTAGAGCCGAGTAGAGTTGAGCTAACTGGAGAAGAGCTAACTAGAATAGAGAAGAGTTGGGTACAGCCAAGTAGGCTTGTGGAAACGGGGTTTAAGTCTGCACTGCGCTTTATCGCTGCCTGGAAGAAGAGAGTTGTACTTGTCCAGAGTGACCACAGAGAGCCCCTCTCTGCGTTCACTGTCGAGCCTCAAACAGGGGAGCAAGCACCCAGTGAGCTGTAGCATTTATACATGGTTCAAAAGGATGGCTATTTACAGATGGCGAAAGGCGAGATGCCAATCAGACGATACGGAGTCAGGAATGCAACAGGAAAACGCTCCGTTTTCAGAAATGTGTCCATTTGAAAGAAAAAAGTGTGCAATATTTAGCTGCCCCTACAGAGAAACAGCAGTGGCAACAATCCCTGCACTTCGCTGGAGAAATGACCACAAATTAAGAATTCTTCATTCCTCCATCATAATCAATATCGTTAACTTAGAATGACTCAAAACTTGTACAAAAGAAACTTCTGGGTGTTTGAGTCACGACCGTGGTGTGGAAGCAAGATTCAGAAATCAGAAAAACTCAAAAACATTTGTCCTTAACAGATAATTTACAGTTAACTTAAAAATGGTAGGAGCCCTATTCTTTGGGGGGGCGGGGCCAAAAGTCTTGCCTATACCACATGAGAAGGTGTGTCAATACCTGCGTGGGTTCAAATTCAAGTCCCTTGATATCGCTCCGTTGTTGTAAAAGAAAAAGATAACATTTACATAATCTTACAGATGTCCATTTGGGGCCCAGGTTAAAGTCCTGCCGTATGAAGTCGAGCGGTGACAGTCAACACCCCTGTGGGACCCCTTAGCAACAAAGCTGGGTTTCAGCTTGTTGTTGGTTGTCAAAAATCCTCCCTGCTTTCTTTCCTTGTTTTATCAGTGGGTGGGGTATCCAGCAGCTCCCATACCCGGTTGGTTGGCTATCATAGTTCCATTGAGAGGCGTCTCCATTACCCCACCGTTACTGATGGCGCTCACGTTTGTCCACCCAGCACTGGCCGGTATTTGGCTGCAAAATGCACAGAAGAGAGACAAAGAGAACAGCCAAGAGGTTAGAAAAGACAAGGCGACAGTAGTAGAGAGGCACTCAGGGCAGGCTGCTATGCATTAGCTTAGCGCACATTCAAGCAAGAGCAAGCAAAATGAACCAAGGGGTGAGAGGAAGGGAAGTGTCGAATACCGTAACTGTAAGGGTACAAGAACCGTTTCCACCAGCCATACTCTAGTTTGAACATTAGGATTGTTTGAACAATCTGCTGTTGAGGAATCGCCAACTTTGTAAAGTCATCCCAAGACAACTGCTGTCGTGATTTAGTAATGTATTCCTAAAGCGCATTTGTTTTTCTGTGAGCGGGTTATAACATACAATTCTGCAGGCAAAAATAGAGTGTGGCCTCTACAGGCAAAAAACATGTTTTTCAAATTGTAGCTGGTATGAGATAAACTGCTGCATCCAAATAGCCCAACAGTTACAGTACCCGTGTGCCATGTGACAAATGCAGAGTTGGGAAAGTGTTAGCTGCAAAACACTGCCTCAGATGAGGGGAATGGTTAGAAAAGTCAACAGTTGTAGTTATGACGCCGAGCTGTGAGTCCATACTGGGATTTCATAGTTGGCTCATGATATTGTCCACATTTGCTACAATTCACCATTTTTAAGATCCAATTCAACATAACTGATAGCTTTGGACCAATAATGATAATCATATTAAAAGGTAAAAGGCAGGCTCAACCAGTATCTATGGGTTTCAGAGTGAGGATAAATGCAGCATCATTCCACCCTGTGAGCTTCTTCAGTCCTGGATCTACGGCCTCAGACCTGGGTCTACAGCCAGTGAGTCCTCAGACAGTTGCATGAATCAGGAAGCTGAAACACGTGAAGATGTACTAAACTGGTACTGGATTGTGTCCCTAGTGTTGAAATAATAATAACTTACCAACAGAAGAACCATTTTATCCTATTATTTATTAACTGAGAATTGCTTATTATAAAGTGTATACAACAAAAATTCATTTTTTTGCCCACCCAGGAGGGCCTACGGACAGTGATGATCCAGGACATTTATTAGCATTTCTAGACAGAGGTCATCCTGCTCCCTATGGACCAATGGCTCCTGCATGTCATTATTGGAGGACTATAGTGAAAAACCGTGATGTTAGTGTTCCTCCTGAGGCTAACTGAGTGGAGTCATGCAACGCTTTGAGTTCCAGACGTGAGTGGACAAGAAGACAGCGCCGCCATGAGGCTGATGGAAAAAGCCCCGTCCCTCCTGTTCTACTCCCCACATACACTGGAAATATATATAAAATGCAGTCACTTCAAATAATCTGTGAAACTGTACAACCAATGAGACTTTTGCAATTACCACAAACTTAAGCATATATGGGTGTTATTAAAAAGGGACAAAGTTGAGATAGTCGTCTTCAAATATTAGCTCAGTCAGCTTATAGTCAGATCATAGCCAGCCCCTTTCAAATGGCCTTATCATGCTATTGTTCTCATGTTCAGAATGCTCTCAAGGAAAACTCAACTAAAAAGTGATTTCAGGACTGAAGTGGGTCGTTTAACAGTAATTCCACAGAACTGGGACTAAAACCTCAAATGTAATTAAACATGTTACACAATTTTTATGTTTCCCCTTTGTCACTGATATATTCTCATTTAAGTAGATGTAAAACACATCCAGCTGTCGCAGGGATCAAAGTAAATTCATTTTCATTTAACTAATATCAAAATATACAACAGGGCCAAGTCTGTTGTATCCTGTGGACTGTTCCTCCCCCCAGAAATGGGACAGTCCACAGGATGTCTTATTACTCCAATGCCATGTCCTCTACAACTCATTTTTTTAAACTGTCCAAATCAGGGCAAAAAGTGGCGAAACTTTCTAGCGACACATGCACAGAAAGAGATACGACTGCTGTGTCTTCATGATTTCTAATGGAACCAAACAGATCTTTGTTTTCTGTTTTTCTTCCATAGACAGTATAATAAAAGTGGACTAAGCCTATGTGATGTCACAGTGTGTTTGGCTTTTACTGGAGGAAGCCAATCGGATCTGACGACAAGCAACCACATAGCAACCAAAGGGCCAATCAGGAGCAAGGCTGGTTTGAGGCCGGAAATAGTAGAAGGCACATGATTGGCTATTTATAAATCGTTCACATCTTGATTTACAAAGACATTATGAACAGAACAGCAGCAGAACAAGCCTTAACCCAGGTTGGCTCTGTCCATTCCAAATATACAGTCAGTTTCCTTCTTACAAATGGTAAAACTATAGAAAGACATGGTGGTATTTGGATATCCCAGTTAATAGCAGCCATCGTCCCATTCCTGAGCCTAAATAAACAGATGAGGGTCCTGCTGAGGGCCTACATGGACACACAGATGAGGGTCCTGTTGAGGGCCTGGCTAAAGCGCGTTTGCCTGTGGGACTCTCGTCACAGAGGGGTTTGGTTGAGCTGACAGGGCACAGTCTTGGATGGAGTCTTGATGGTGGATGGGGGGATGGTCCAGTACCGGTTACTTACTTATAGCCCTGTTGGTTCCATCCCTGGCTGTACATGTTGTAGGCGGGGACCTGCTGCCACCCGTTGGGGACGTACTGGCTGATCTGGGGGCTGTTACCATACCATTGACCCCACTGGCCGTAGGGCTGGGCCGCCGCGTAGCCCACCTTGTTCTGCTGCAAGACCAAATTCACAGTGTTACTACATAGTCACTTGGAACTGCACTAATGTGTATTCACTAAAGCCATGTTTCCAACAGCCCTACCCTACAATTGCGTTTCCACTGGCCCAGTTTAACCAGGTGTTAGAACCTAGTGTTCTAACTGATAATGATTGGCCGGAGTGCAGATGGAAGCCACGGTTACCAAGGAAGTTGACCGGGTACTGGTTTGTTGTGGGTAGGTTAACAAGGATTATCTAGGATGCAGTACTAGATACTAAAAAGTAATGAAAACACCACCAGGTGGAGTAGAAGCAGGGCTTAATTCAGCAGTATGTGTGTTCATTTGGCTCCAAAACATGTTAGGAATATTTAAATATATTAACAACAACAAAGTAAAAAAAAAAATTTTAATAGCGGAGAAAACATAGCTTTGTTGCACACTCCTAGGTCAAAGGTCATGAACTGAGTTTAAAGCTGGAATATCCAACTTTCAAAACATACATTTAACTGTATAATTAAATCTAACCAGTTCCCGTTACAGCCAATGATCTCTCAGCATCAAATAGTGACTCACAGGGCCATTTTTTATAAATATGTGAAATGTTTTCTAATTAGATGAAGACAAAATGTTTCACAAGACCCTCTGATGGGATCCGTAACCTGCATGATCTATGGAGAAATATTAGAATATATGGATACACATGTAAAATTGCGCAATAGGTACCAGCGAGACTAACATCTAGTGGAAGGAGTGGGAACATTGTCAAGTTGTTTTTAATTGTATTATGTAAAATATTGTTAGGACCTTGATTTTGAATGAAAAGTACAACCATCGTTGTGAAATAACATTTGTTGTTGTTGTACCTGAGGCATGGGCACCTGTTGCATGGAGTTCATCATGTCGGGGGTTTCTTTGCCCCAGTAACACTTGACCATGTGACCTTCTAGAGACGAGCCATTCACTGCCACAATGGCGTGTGCCGCAGACTCGTGAGAGTTAAACCTGTGTAAGAAAAGCACTCATTCAAACGGAATCTGCTGCTCGAATACAACGGTCATTTAGACTGAGTTCGTCTGTTCACTGCTTGGGTTCACGTCTAAAGTACAACTGTCGAGATGTTATCAGGGTTCAAACGCTGTCGGATTCATGAGACAGCCTCCTCCACAGATCACTGGGCTGACCACGCCTACTCAGGAAGTAACATCATCATCATATATGATCTGCACATAAAGCCCCGTTTAGACAGAGACACTGCAAAGCAATTAACAAAAACATCCAGGCTCCTGATTCGACGCGCACAGCGTCAAAACAACCACGGAAAGCAATGTAGTTCTAGCGCCTGGGGAGTAGTAGGCAGTGGAACAACACAACATGCGCAACCCCCCAGCAGTATAATAACTTCAACATACTCTTCAGGCCACCGCGAAGACGTGAAAGAATGCACCGACATAATTTTGCATTTAACAGTAGGTGCAAAAATTGATACTGAAACTAGAGCTTTGCATGGTTTTGTTTGGACGAACGAAGGGGTTGAATTGCTCTTGTGTCGCGCTCGAAGCATATGGCGCATTAGTTGACCCGCCGTCATAGTTTACGTTTGTTCTCGGCTACTGTGCATGTCCATGTGGAAGTGGGTAGGTCATTCCAGCCAGAGAATTCCCACCTTTTTCTTCATACAGCTGTAAAACAGCCCCCCACCGCGCACCGCATTTGTTCTGTTCCACTCTGGAGGCTATTACTCAACGCATGCGTTTTCACCTGAAACACTGTCTTCATGTAAACAAAAGCCAAACTCATCTAATTCACTGTTCATAATAGTTGCCTTTAAACCAGAACCCAAGCAGTAAAATGGTATCTGCTGCTCTGGAACCATGACAGAACACAATGACAGGAGATCACAGTAGCAGAATGCTTCCATACCTAACAAATGAATAGCCTTTGTCTGGAAACACTCGGATCTCCATGATCTGTCCGAAGAGGGAGAAGGTCTGTCTCATCAGTTGATCTAAAGAGGTAAAACAATGGAGAGGGTTGAACAATACCTAATATTGTTCAAATGAGTATGATATACAAGCTATAAGGAAAACAGCAGAAAGTATGGGGCAAACAAACAGAAAAACAGATGTAAAGAGTTATTTTGAATTTCAGTTCTGTTCGTACAGTTTTTGTCCTAGAAGCAGTCGCGTTGAGAACTTTAGTCAAGCCAACAACAGCTCTACTGGGGATCCCAATGCACAAACCTTAAGATTGTTAATGTTTTTCAAAACAATGTATAGACAAGAGTGGTCTGTGCCTCATGTACAGGTCCTTCTAAAGACATTTGCATATTGTGATAAAGTTAGTTATTTTCTGTAATGTACTGATAAACATTAGACTTTCATATATTTTAGATTCATTACACACAACTGAAGTAGTTCAAGCCTTTATTGTTTTAATATTGATGAATTTGGCAAAAAAAGTAAAGAAAAACCAATAATCCCCATCTCAGAAAACTTGCATATCATGAAAAGTTACTCTAAACGAGCTATTAACCTAATCATCTGAACCAACAAATTAACTCTAAACACTTGCAGAAGCTTCCCGAAGCTTTTAAAAACGCCCGGCCTGATTCATTACTCAAAACCGCAATCATGGGTAAGACTACCTAACTGCTATCCAGAAGGCAATCATTGACACGCTCAGAAAGACATTTCTGAGCGGGTTAGGCTGTTCCCAGAGTGCTGTATCAAGGCACCTCAGTGGGAAGTCTATGGGAAGGAAAAAGTGTGGCAGAAAACGCTGCACAACCCCAAGAGGGGACCGGACCTTGAGGAGGATAGTGGAGAAGGGCCGATTCCAGACCTTGGACTTGCGGAAGCAGTGGACTGAGTCTGGAGCAGAAACATCCACAGCCATCGTGCACAGGCGTATGCAGGAAATGGGCTACAGAAACCACAACCAGAAACAGCGGCAGAAGCGCCTGACCTGGGCTACAGAGAAGCAGCACTGGACTGTTGCTCAATGGTCCAAAGTACTTTTTTCGGATGAAATCAGGTGCCAGAGTGTGGAGGATGACTGAGGAGAAGGAAATGCCAAAATGCCTGAAGTCCAGTGTCAAGTACCCACAGTCAGTGAGGGTCTGGGGTGTCATTTCAGCTGCTGGTAGTGGTCTACTGTGTTTTATCAAGGGCAGGGTCAATGCAGTTGGCTATCAGGAGATTTGGAGCACTTCATGCTTCCATCTGCTGAAAAGCAGAATTCCTTTTTCAGCACAACCTGGCACCTGCTCACAGTGCCAAAACTACTGGTAAATGGTTTACTGACCGTGGGATTACTGTACTCAATTGGCCTGCCAACTCTACTGACCTGAACCCCATAGAGAATCTGTGAGATATTGTGAAGAGGAAGTTGAGAGTCACCAGACCCAACACTGTGGATGAACTTAAGGCCACTATCAAAGCATCCTGGGCCTCCATAATACCTCAGCAGTCCCACAGGCTGATTGCCTCCATGCCACGCTGTATTGAAGCATTCATTTCTACAAAAGGAAGCCTGATCAAGTATTGAGTGCATAAATGAACATTATTTGAAGGTTGACCTTTTTTGTATAAAAACACTTTTCTTTTATTGGTCGGATGAAATATGCCAATTCTTTTAGATAGGGATTTTTCTTTACTTTTTTGCCAAAATCATCCATATTAAAACAATAAAAGGCTTGAACTACTTCAGTTGTGTGTAATTAATCTAAAATATATGAAAGTCTACCGTTTATCAGTACACAGAAAATAATGAGTTTAATAAGTTTATCTCAAAATGCTAATTTTGTGAGAAGGACCTGTATATTGAGATAAGAGCGGACCGAGTCTGCATGTATACTGAGACCAGAGAGGTTTGAGTAGTAGAGGTCCCAATATCTGCGTTTCCACCGCAGGAACTTTGGAGTAATTTTCCAGGGCCACCCCCATTCTGCGTGTCTCCACTGCAGGAACTTCCCCCACAGGGCCATTTACAGGAACTTTTACCGGCCCAGCGGAGTCCCTCCATGTTAGGTACTTGAGGTTAACCCAGTGGTGATTGGCTAAAACTAGCGCAGGCTCTGACGTCAGCAGAAAGCACCAAAACAATCGGTATTTTAAGAATCCAGCAGCCTAAGCTTAGCAGACACCACTGGAAACAGCAAACAACAGCACTGCATTGATTCAGACGGGGTTTGAGGCATCGAGGCGAAATAATAAGACATTAAGACATAACAGCTTCACCTCAAAGCACTGGGGGTTCATCACACTCCAAAACAAGCCGTGAAGTTTTAAAAAACTGAAGCAGTCACCAGAGCGGTTACAACCGTAAAATAAACAAATAGGCTTGGCGTAATGCGTTTCGCTTATGCAGCAATCAAAACTCATGACGTCACCAAGTGGTTCTACTCTGCAGAGGAGACACGGCCACTGAGAGGACCAAGGGAGAAGAAGGTTCCTGTAAAAGTTCCACCCCCCTCCTTTTACCAGGAACTCTTGCGGTGGAAACGCAGCTATTGTGCTATTGGGAACCTATGTAGTCCTCATGACGATTATCAGCAGCTGATATAAGCAATCTCGAGTGATGAAAGGACCCTCTGTGGTTCAGACCTGTGAGTCCGGAGCTGACGCCGCCACAGTACACAGTGCAGTTACTGGGGCTGGACTGGGACATCACCTCCTCGAAGTTTAGGTGCTTTGTGTTATCTAAAAAGAACAAAAACAAAGTTACATCCACAAACTCAGTATCTTTTAGAGCTTTAATGCTAGCTCACAACAGCATAATGTTTCACTGAGTAAAAATGAAAACATTGTATAATGAACATATACTGAGTTAGAGTGGGTCAGCATTATTGCGGAAGGAGCCAATTTTGAACATATGCTTGCTCCAGCCAATTTTCCTATATGGACCTTTATTCCGCTCCATTAGCTTTGTGTCATAACAAGGGCAGACGTGTTGCTAGGATGGTTGCTAAGGCAAGTTGGAGTTTTCCTCACGAATGATTACATTCCTGCTTCCCTGTATGTTTTTGTGAATAACTTCTCACCAGCTACAGGTATAATAATCCATTAGTCTAGTCCAGGGGTCGGCAACCTGTGGCACGCCGCGGAATAAACACTGGCACGCCGGCACCTTCGCATTATTCTCACTGTATCTGTCCTGTTTTAAAAATAAGAGCATCTCCCTCTTTGTCTGAGCGCTGTTTGATGGCCGGCACTAGGACCCAGCGGACACCACTGCGGGGATAAGCTGCTTGTTTCCCTCACACACACACCGTGTAGCTGTGGGTGAAGCCAGGAGTCTGCAGCTGCAGGTGTATGCGAGATTTAAACTTCTTTTTGCACATTCAAAGTAGTAACTGGTGTGCCATTCACTGCAGACGCCTCCTACAATCACTGTGACACGCTGTCAACACTGTGTGCGTGAAATCAAAGAGGGAACTGGTGAGTTTAAGCATTTTTGTGCTGCACAGAGCTAGGATGCTAGCGCTAGCCTCTGATGCGATGTTGAATTCGAATATTGTTGTTCTCATGTTGATTCCCTGTGTAGCCGACTATGCCTTTTTATATGCTCATGTATGGTTACCAGAGCATGAAATTTGCTTGTGTGCTCTTGAACCAAAAGTATTAATACATTTATTTTTGATATGTGCACTGAACTGAATGAATTGTATTGTGATTTATGGTGCAGAGGATTAATTGTGAATTTTGAAGTGAGAATGAGCACTCTGATTATTGAGTATATATTTATTGAACATGTACATGTATTTTTATAGTAGTGATATATTGCTAAATGAAACTGTTGGATATTTATATTGGTCCTGTCATGCAGGCCAGGTTCCTTGGATCCGTCCGTCCATATGGACTTCTTCTGATGGCGAGCTGCCCCAGGCCAAAAACCTGGAGATTGCCAACCCTACAGTGCGGTAGGAGGCGAGCAGTCTCCCTCATACAAACAATAACCTGAACTGGATTACTGCAAAGTACACGCTCCACCTTTTCAAACCAACCTGCCAAACCCAACTCAACCGGACTCTCTCACTCAAAACCCGTTCAATTATTTTTTGTAAATATTGTAAATATTGTGAATGTGGGGTGTGTGTGTGTGTGTGTGTGTAATCTATGCCCTGCCTTTGTAAATATCTATTAGAGGTGCAACGGTTCATCACTGATCCGTGATCTGTTCAGATCAACGTCTTCGGTTCGGTACAGACGTGATCCGCGGTTTGATTTAAAAAAAAAGTTGTGCGCATGTTGTTCAGTCCACACACAGCGTAATCATGGCGAGCGGAGGAACTTGAAAGCCCTGCGTCATTTAAATCCCCGGTATGAGAGCATTTTGGCTCCACTGTAACTATACTGATGATTAAATAGTCGACAAATTTAATCACTGATCCTCCTGCAGGTGCTGAGTCCACATGAGCAGAGTTTATTACAAAGACAAAACTTTTTAGTTGAAAAATGAACTGAACCGTGGCCTCTGAACCGAGGAACGATCCAAACCGGGATTTTTTTCAAACCGTTGCATCCCTAATATCTATCTCTTAACATAATTCACATCTGGATCATACCACTGTCTCTGTCTGTGATTTTAAACACCTCTCCCTCTGTGAGCCGAATCTTAGCTTCTGGTCCGAGCCCAAATACAATCAGTTTACTGGACTTAATATTGTTATATGCTACACTAGCTGTTTTTTCAGTCTTTGAAATGTTGATATGGCTAAATTATTTTGAATACAGATACTGTTATTGTTGAGAAAAAAATTCCAGGTATATTGGAAATGTTTATGTATTTTGTGTCATATTTTAACTGCGTTCATCGATGTAATGGCACACTAGATGAGAAGAACATTTCAAACTGGCACTCCATGTCACAAACGTTGCCGACCCCTGGTCTAGTCTATTAAAATTGAATGGGAAAAGTAGAACATACATCTCATCAAGCATGGGAACAACAACAACAGATGAGAGAGCACTCACTCTCATGGCTGCTTTTGGGGGCAGGGGGCTTTCTCGTGGCCCAGTTTGTCCGGATCGGCCTGCCACCTAACCACTGTCCATTCATGTGCTGGATGGCGTTCTCAGCCTCCTACGACAACAACATAAACAGAAAATCAAGCAATGTGTAGTATAAGAGATGCATGAAGTGATCATTCGTACTTTTAAATCTACGTTTATATTGCTCCAAGTGGATGATAAACTTGTAATCCATTACAGATACTTCATTGCCCTCTGCCTTTGACACATATTGTAATACCACTCGGTACCACTCTGTCAGGAGCAGCAGGGAATAAAGTACAGAGAGAGACCAGAGTGAGACCAGAGTGAGCAACCAAAAAGGGGGCGACAAAGGAGACCAGAGTGAAACCAGAGAGGAAGACCTGAGAGACACCAAGATATGACAGTCCAAAAATACATGCATGTGAAAACTAGTGGTCGAGCCAAACAGCTGAGAGTAAGCATAAGACTGATAGATCACATAGTTCTTTGTGTTTTTGTATTTTTTAACAGTTTGTGATATTTCCTTAACATATGCTTATCTCCCCTATTTCTCATTCTCAAAACCCTACATTTCTTTCTTCAACCCTGATATTCCCAGTGTCTTTACCCATTTGTTGAAGAATGACACAAAACCGTAGCCTTTAGATTTCCCTGTCGCCATATCCTTCACAACCCGAGCATCCCTGCACACAGAGCTGGTGTTGGCAAAGGTACAAGAGACAAAACCCTTTACATCATACAGTTTACATCAGGTGAACAAAGCACTTACGATATCCTACCGAACGGTGCAAAGGCAGCTTTGACATCTTCTGTAGTTATTTCTGGGCTCAAGTCTCCCACAAAGACATGGAAGTGATCTGAAGCCGCCAAAAACAGAGTCAGTCACAATCCCCACTGATTAATGCAGTTCAGAGAATTGTGGTACTCACTGCTTGTGTCTTTTTTCTGAGTTGTTGGTGTTGTGGCCCAGTTTACTTTAACCTCCTGAAGGAAGAGAAACAGAGACAGGTGGGGCATGTTACTTACTACCAACACTAAGATTAAACTATAGGAGCTGCATCCAATAGCCACAGTTAGGGCGTTTTTACACTACACACAATAATTATGCATTTTACCATCTGGCTGATTAACGTATAGCTAGGCCTGTCACGATAACAAATTTTGCTGGACGATTAATTGTCTCAGAAATTATTGCGATAAGCGATTATATTGGCGTTCTGAGATCATTTGCATCGATTACAATGATCATGCAGGTACACCTTTTCAAAGAGAAATAAACTTTTATTTTTAACGAATATTTAACGCTAGAACACAATAAATTTACAAACAACCAAAAACAATAAATAAAATACTCAAGTCTCTTAACAAAAAATGACCAGGAATAAAACTGCCAGGACCTTTGTAAAGAAAATATGAAACAGATGCCTCAAATGTCAATAATTTCTCAGACTTTATGGCAGATTACGAGAAAGAAATACCAACATGTTGACTTTGTGTGGCTTAAGACACACCAGGCGAATGACAAGTGACTGACATGTGGGTTCACCAATGGGGCGTACAGAAGTCCTGCTGCGGTAGCGCCCACCGGAAGTAGCGGGCGGGCTTTGATGCTAACAGCTAAGCTAGCGGGTTTTTTGTGTAAAGTTCTACTCCAAGAATGCAAGTCTGCAGCATCTCTGTGTTCAGAGACCTTCTAGAGACTTTATATAACAGCAGTATGTGTTCACGGAGGTGCGCCATAAGTTTATTTTATTGGTATGGTACGGTACTTATGCATTGGCGAACACGCTAACGCTAGCTGCGCTTGTATAGTCACTAATCAAGCCTGAATGAGAACTCAGCTGCCGGCATATGTTCACAACTACTGTGTCCCCCATTGTCAATCCTGGTTAAGTCCTGGTTTAGGTCCTGTTTTGGCTGTATTTTGTATTTTTGAGTAATTTCCGTCTGCTTGCTAGACCGCTAATGTTCCCGTGACCACTTTGCGGCTCTCTGACCCGAGAGAGAGGGGGGAAACAAACAAGCATGCAAATGGGATTTATCGCGGCCAGAAAAGTTATTGAGCAAATTTTATTTATCGTGCGATTAATTGATTTATTGACTATCGCGACAGGCCTACGTATAGCCCCGTTTCCACCAGCCCACCTGGTTGCGTTTCCATTACGCTTTTGTATGGGGTACCATATCCTTGCAACCTACTCACAACTAACCAGTACCTGGGGAAATGGTGAACATGGTTCTAGTAAAACAGGGTCCGAGTATAGCTGAGATGTTTAGCAGAGTAAAACTGAGACGAGTACAGCAGAGTAGAGAAAAGTCGAGAGGGCTGGTAGAAACAGGGTTTATGTTTCGTCATTTTATCCACAAATGTACTGAGATTGCCTATATGCAGCTCTTCCCAGCCCAGAGCCCACCCGAGCCCACTCACCCTTTAGATACGATAGCTTACCTTACCCAAAATTTTCCTTCCGTTCATTGCTGCCAAAGCGGCGGCAGCGTGTCTGTTTTCATAGAACTCCACAAAGCAGTAAGGGTCATTCCCTGTGGGCTGTAGACGCAATCATACAGAATAAACATTTAAAACGGTACAATCACACACTAGGGCTGCACGATTTTGGCTCGTATCCAATCGCAATATTTCTTTGAGGGGACCGCAAAAACATACGGAAGTATAAATTAGGGATTATTAGCATTACTGAACAAGGACAGTGCAGAAAAACATTAGCATTGGACATTTGTTTTGACCCTTTTATTTTGATGTTCTTTCCTCCTAGTAGTGCTTGTTTTTCTGCTGGTGTCGACACAGGTCAAAAATATATGGTCAGCAGAATGATAACATGCAACTTGTTCTTAGTATTGACTTTTAAGCATTAGCAAACAGTTAGCATTAAAGCTGCACTAACCGACTTTATTTTTGTATTCATTACGAAAATGCTATCCATGTCCATGCAGTGCATTGGGATATATGTCCTTTTGACGAAAAAGTAGCGCAGATTTGTGCTGGCGTGACATTATATTTTAGATCGAGTTTTGATGAAATGAGGAAGAGAATGTGTTTCGGGTCACAGATTGTGACCAATCACAGCGGACCACTTTCGGGAGAAATCTACAGGTCTAACCTGAAGCTGCCTCGTCTTCGTCACCAGTTACTGCTTACACAGCGAGACAGCCATACAAAAGAAAGTCCTGTTCCTCCGCGCTTCCCGGTTCTATCATTCTATGGTCACGCCATCCACGCTCAAATGTTCCACTGACGGAAACCATCACGTCCGTTACACTTTGTTCAAGGGTCATTTAAATTTGTATGGATTTTTTTGTATGATTCCTTTTTAAATCAAGTGATTTACTTATGCTGTGTAAGCCACATTAATCTTGTGGGATTTCATCTGCCACTTTTTCAGACTGAGGACATCTTATGTTCTAACTAACTGGCGTCACAGAATGATCAAATCAGAGGCTGATTTGGTCTTTTAAAATGTTGTCATAAATATATTTGTCAATCTTTCCCTTTGATTTTATCCACGCTATCTCTTTGATATGTCTGTGTTTGAAATCTTTTTCCAATCTATGATAGTAATTTTAGTTTTTGAGTTCTAACCTTTTATGGTCCATATACTTTAATTGACACTTTACAGTGAACGCACTCTCCTCGCAAAACATGTAGTTGTCTGGGCACTCCCTCTTGTACGGCTCGTTCTGTGCCGCAGCTGTTGGGTTATTAAAACTTATAATTCAAGGTCAGAACAATTAAGACAAGAGTCACAAAAGGCCCTGAATGCTGCTCCCCTGCGCCACCATCAGGTCATCACTGGTATTACATCACACTGTATTTTAGCCTTTCTTTAACCATGTTCATATAATTGAGTTTCCCTCCCTGGGGAGGTGTTCCTGCTGCCCCCGCGAACCAACAACGAATTAAGTGGAAGAAAATGGATGGATGGATTTATTTTTTTGACAATCTGCATATTTTATATCTAAACTATATGAGTATATTACATTGAATCAAAGCCATCTTAATGTTTAAGCTCATTTAACTCCCTAAAATCAAGTCAATGTTATATATAATGATATATATTTATTTATTAGTTTATTAATAAATAAACTAATAATCATGTGTACATGACGATGTACACATGTTATCAGTTGTGATGTATTCACTGGTGCCAAAAATTAAAGCCATTATCAATTTAAGTATTCATTATGAGATTGACTTTGGTTCCATTCCAGATGTCAAACAATTTAATTTAAAAAAGGTAATAGCGAACTATCTAAATGACGTCACTAAGACACGCCCCCGCCGCCTGTCAACTCCCGCCCACATGTTTCGGACAAACACTGCCGAAATGAATCAAATACCACTTGTCACTTTAGACGAAAATGATATACCAGGGGCAAAATTCCACCATCAAACCATCAGGGATCATAGTGTAGACCAATTATAACGTTGGCTTGAATGTCGTGGTCTTCCAGTAACTGGTAGAAAGTTTGATTTGATAAAAAGGTAATGGTGAGGATTATGCTAACATTATCTAGTCATTTAAATTGCAATGCTAGCGCCTTCTTTGTTTGTTTTGCTGTGATTAACTTCCATTTATCAAGTTGTTTTTGCACTATCCACTTTGTAATTAGTTTGATCATTAGTTAGCTACAGTCAGCTGATATTATAATAAATCCATGATCACAACGGGTTACGCCACTGTCTCTGAGAGAAACTATCAGAGCTAGCCACACTCAGTAAACGCAAATGACAATCAATCAACACATTTAAATGTTAATGGGAGAATACATTATACACATTCATAACACAAGTGCACGGAGGTTTTCAGAATTAACTGTTCAGGTTTTCATGACAAAAATACTTTTTTAATGCGACTAAAGCGATCGCTTTTAGGTTAACTATCCTCACTGTTACTCGCCTGCCACGGGAAAACCTTTGGGAACTATTTTCTTTGCACTCATTAAATAAACCTTTCGGCATGAGTAGTGAATGACGTTTATTTTGTGTGTTCAATTGGTACAAAGCCGTATAATAAGCAGACACAAAGTTGAAAAAAATCCCTCTCATCTTTCTTCAGGTGTGAGAATTGTATACTTTCTGGATTAGGACAAACAATACTAATATGGATTGATGGGGGTAAATGGTGTAAAGAGAAAGTTTGTGCTAACTACATTCAGAAGAGCTCAGACGGACCTGATACAGCGGTCCAGATACAGTCCCAGCGAAACGGAGCTAGGACAGGATCTGGATGCTCCACAGTTGGTCCAGCGAAGTGTTTTGAAAAAACATGTGTCCTTTTTAACCTTTTCATGAGAGAAATTCTGCCGACCACAAGCACCCACCTGGTCTGATCTGGTCCTGGTCTGGTCCTGGTCTGGTCCGATGGTGTGGTTTAACGAACGGGTTGAATGTTACTTTCATATAGTCCTTTTCAGAGTATCTGAAATCGCTCCGACAAGCACCATAACTGCAGTGTTTTGTTGTCACCATGATTCAATGATTTAGCCCAAATAAATACACACGCGTATGAGGAGAACACAGTAGAACTCAACGAGTCGTACACAATGTTTGTCCGAAACATGCGCGCATGCGCAGTCATCTGAGCCATTTTTAGCACATTTCGGAAACCGGACAGTGCCCTATTAGGAGTAATTTCTTCTTCCGGGTGGATCATCTCAGAATCAGAATCAGAATCAGAATCAGAATCATTTTTATTGCCAACGTAAGTAACGGGAGGTCACAGACTTGGAAATTGCTTTGGCTCAGTGCAACAGTCAAAAAGAGATAATAAAAATAAGAATAAAAAACACTTCTAAAGAATAAATTTAAATTTAAAATAGAGTTACAGTTACTATTTACAATATACAAGTGCACATGGTGCACACAATGTAAGGTGACAGCAGTACAGTGAAGTAAAGTGACGTATGATGGGCAGTAAAGTGACTTTATAAAGGGCGGGGGGACAGGTTAAGAAGTGTTCAAGAGTCCAACAGCAGAGGGGAAGAAACTGTTCTTGTGGCGGGAGGTTCTAGTCCTGATGGACCGCAGCCTCCTGCCTGAGGGGAGTGGTTGGAATAGTCCATGTGCAGGGTGAGAGGGGTCGGCTGTGATACGACCAGCCCGGCCTCGAGCTCGGGCGACGTACAGGTCCTGCAGCGATGGAAGGCTGCGGCCGATCACTTCCTCTGCAGAGCGCACAATGCGCTGTAGTCTCTGTTTGTCCCTGACTGTGGCTCCAGCGAACCACACGGTGATGGAGGAGGTGAGGATGGATTCGATGATGGCCGTGTAGAACTGCACCAACATCTGTGCAGGCAGCTTGGCTTTCCTGAGCTGCCGCAGGAAGTACATCCTCTGCTGGGCCTTCTTGATGAGGGAGCTGATGGTCGGCTCCCACTTGAGGTCCTGGGGTGATGGTGGTGCCCAGGAAACGGAAGGACTCCACAGAGGTGATGGGGGAGTCCATCACGGAGGGTGGGGGCGGGGGGACAGTGCTCTTCCTGAAGTCCACAATCATCTCCACTGTCTTCTGGGCGTTCAGCTCCAGGTTGTTACCACTGCACCAGGACACCAGCCGGTCCACCTCCCTCCTGTAGGCGGACTCATCGTTGTTGGAGATGAGTCCAATGAGGGTGGTGTCGTCCGCGAACTTGATCAGCTTCACGGAGTCGTGGCTGGAGGTGCAGTGGTTGGTGTACAGGGAGAAGAGCAGGGGAGAAAGAACACAGCCCTGTGGGGCTCCTGTATTTATAATCCGAGAGTCCGAGACATTCTTCCCCAGACGCACTCGCTGCTTCCTGTCCGACAGGAAGTCAGTGATCCACCTGCAGGTGGAATCGGGCACGTTGAGCTGGGAGAGCTTGTCCTGGAGCAGGGATGGCAGGATTGTGTTGAAGGCAGAGCTGAAGTCCACGAACAGGACCCTGGCGTAGGTCCCCGGGGAGTCCAGGTGCTGTAGGATGTGGTGGAGGGCCAGGTTAATGGCGTCGTCTACAGATCTGTTGGCTCTGTAGGCGAACTGCAGGGGGTCCAGGAGGGGGGAGGTGAGGGACTTGAGATGGGAGAGAACCAGGCGTTCAAATGACTTCATGACGACAGACGTAAGTGCTACAGGTCTGTAGTCATTGAGTCCTGTGATCCTGGGCTTCTTCGGGACGGGGACAATGATGGAGGATTTGAAGCAGGCCGGGACATGGCAGGACTGCAGAGAGGAGTTGAAAATGTCCGTGAACACAGGAGTAAGCTCACTGGCGCAGTGTCTCAGAGTGGCCGGAGACACGTGGTCCGGGCCCGGAGCTTTGCGGGGGTGCAGCCTCAGGAAGAGTTGTTTAATCTCTTTAGCGGCTATTGTTAGGCTGGGGGCAGGGCTGATGGGTGGGTCGTTAGAGTAGTGGGGGGTGGGGGAGGGAGAGGTGTCAGGGGCAGCATCAAAGCGACTGAAAAATAGGTTCAGATCGTCAGCTAGCTTGTGGTCATCAGCACAGGGGGGGGCTTTGGGTTTGTAGTTGGTGATCTCCCGTAGGCCCCTCCGGGAGATCACCAGGGGTCTAGACCAGGGATCTAGACCAGGGGTCCCCAAATGGCGGACCGCGGTCCAGGTCCGGACCCCGAGACCCTTTTCTCTGTACCGTTGTGATTTTTTTTGTTCAAAAGTACATTATTACAATTATGTGCCAAATTTGTTAACAGGCAGGCGCGAGGGCGGCTATTGCACAGTGGGGTCCTTCGGATAAAACTTTACGGAGCTGTCAAATAACTTAAGCAGTGTCTAAATTTGAGTGAGTCAGAGTGTGTGGAGGCAATGCCAGAAACATTATTTGATGGAAAGAAGCACTTCAACAAAAAAGTCCGTCAGATCCCCTTATCCTCCACAATTAACATGCGTTGCACCCTCTGCTCTGAGAGCTTGGGAGAGGTTTGTGGTGTGTTGTATAGAAAGAAAACAAATGAGATTAATGTTATGTGTGAATTATACACCCCTATATTTAGATTTTTGTCCATTTTTGAATTTTCAAATAATTCTTACTTCTGTAGTAGTTGTTGTTCAAGGTTTTCAAATAATTTCATATGAAAGAAATAGCTTGAATGGATTTATATTAAATCAAAATTTGTATGATGTCCGGACCCTAATCTATTGAACTGATCAAGAAAGTGGACCTCGTGCCAATGTAATTGGGACCCTTGATCTAGACTATTGGTCCTCCTAATTTTCAATCTTTCTGGTGATATGTTTTAGTAGGTGTTCCCTCTGGAGTAGGGGTGGGCGATAATTATCGTAGGAGATAATATGGTGAATGTAACTTTGACAATAAATTGTTTCAGATTATTGAGATATTGGCTCTATTTCAATTTCCCCGCTTTGCCAGTTTGCCTTCTCTGTGCTGCGCTCGTCCCCACCTACTGTTGGTCCCTCTCGGCCCGTCCCCTCGCGTGTCTCATTCAACACAGCAGAGGCGCCGCTTAGCTAGCAGCAGAGACTGAACATGCTCGGAGGAAACAAACTTGTCTCAAAAACGCGTAGTGTTGGTCTCACGTGACAAGAGCTAAAGTGTGTGTTGTCTTCTCTGTCTGGGGTAGTCTTGCACAGAGATTCCAATGTGGTTTTACTGCAAATGGCAAATAAATTCTTGTATCTTGTAGTGTAGAATATGACACGTGTAGCGCCAGAGTACGTGGCATTTCATACAGTGGTGGACACGGCACGTTTTGTCGTCATTGAACAACGTGGCTGTATACCAGAGACTATAAACTTTATACGAAGCTAGAAACAAAACATACGATTACTTAATGTAACCCTGGTTCTTTGATAACAGAGTGATACGTTTCGTGTCGAGGCATTACTTTGCAATACAAGAACTACGGAAAGACGCTGAATTGGATTAAGTTACTTACTATTAATGTAATCAGTGTTTTTTGAATCTTAAATGTTGCAGAAGCACTTTGCTCCTATATGCACATTGAGTTGACTAGTTTTTGAATGAAGAAAATTATTAATTTACTATATTGAGGATTTTAAAATGAAGTACTGAAGGAAACAGCGCTTAATATGATCTGTGGGGAACATAGGGGAAACTGCTTAAAAAATTAGAGAATAGATTTTAGTGCAGCTCTGCTTCTGTACTAGAAATATTTCTTATTATGTGTAATTTTCAAGGAAGCAACTAGAAAAGCTGAAAACATAGGTCTGACTTAAAAGGGACCTAATCTTATTTTGTTGGTATATTGTGGTCTTTTTTGTGTTAAATAAAACTCATTTTGACAGATAGTTTCACTCTCAATCTGCAAGAAATGAACATTTGCGGACATTAGGGCCGTTTTCACAGGCTGGAGTCATGGATCTATGGTCCGACCGGGTCCGACCCCTCTCGACCCGGTTTGCGGATGTGGTCAGTTGGAGCTCGATGGTGCCATCAGAGTGAGTGTAAATAGCTTACGTGTTAGCGAAGGTAGCGCTAGAGACAAAGGAATGTATATCACGGACATCGCAGTGCAGAGAAAAGTTAAGAAGCGTAAAAGTGACTACCGTGAAATGAAAGATCCCAGCCGTAAAAGTGGACAGAACTGAAAAGTCTGGAGGTGGTTTGACAAAATGGATTAACGCTATTTTTACGGACATCAGCTAACACGCCAACACCAGCTAACACGTCAATACGCGCAACACCGAAAGAAAAGCCTCAACTCTATGTCCCAGTTCCAGATGTTGAGTTTGAGAGTTTGTGTCTTCAATCAAATGCAAACATATAGCGTTAATTCTGAACGTGTGTCTGTGGTTCTAAAGTCTAGAACATGATGTGTCATATCTATAACTTTACTAAGTGTAGTTAGAGTGAAACATGGATTCATGGTTCAATGACAGTTATGTTTTCTACTGAATAGTGGGTTGAAACTTGCCATTTTAAGACCGTGATGAGACCACAACAATATTAGGGCACTCTAACTACAATACTGCAAAGTCGTGAAAACTGTTATTTCCCAACAAACCAATGACTAAACCACGAGCCAATCTTATTGTATGCCAGTCAGATTATATATATATATTATTTGCACTGTGCAACTTTCAACCCACAAAAAAAGATAAAACTAGTGTAACTCTGTCCACGCTCTCAAAACAGTTTGCAACCTTTGGGAACGCCAGGTGTCACAGTGGGGCGGCCCTGGCAGTAAAGTGCCAAGTGGTTGTGTCCTTAGGCAAGACACTTTACCCGCATAAGAAAGAGTCTGGTGTGTGCATAAATGGTTGGTGGTGGTGGGAGGGGTTGATGGCACTGTCTGGTTAACTCACTTCTGTCAGCTGTGGCTACAGTAGTAGTTTATCACCACTGTGTTTGCAATGAACGAATAATGCTGTGAAGAATCTTTGAGTGACTAGAAAAGTGCTGTATAAAACTGATGCATTATTTACGGAAGCTTGTTAGGTTCACTTGTGAGTGTTTTTTTTCCCCGCTGGCATCATGTTATTTCATGATACTTTCATGAAATTATGTTATTTCATGATACCAATTTATCATGTTATTTCATGATAACAATTTATCATGTTATTTCATGATAACAATTTATCATGAAATAACATGATACTGTAGATACAGAAGAAGAAGCCGTCAGCTTCTTCTGATAAATTGGTATCATGAAATAACATGATAGTTGTGTATCATGAAATAACATGATATTTGTGTATCATGAAATAACATGATAGTTGTGTATCATGAAATAACATGATAGTTGTATATCATGAAATAACATGATAGTTGTATATCATGAAATAACATGATAGTTGTGTATCATGAAATAACATGATAGTTGTGTATCATGAAATAACATGATATTTATCATGTTATTTCATGAAAGTATCATGAAATAACATGATACCAGCGGGAAAAAAACACACTCACAAGTGAACCTAACAAGCTTCCGTAATTATTTGTTGTTACTTCATCAAAACTATTGATGTTAGGATATATTAATGTATATAGTTCCTCAGCTGTACATGATTTAAGTATTTGCTCCAAATAGCAACTAAACAAATCACAATTTCGATTCCGATTAATCATGCAGCCCTATTAGACATCATGTTTCTTGAATTATAGCAGTAGGAGACGAGTCGTTTCATACTCACGTCTATGATCATTTTACAGCTTTTACAGGGCCCAATCTGCGTGAAGACCTGGACAATCAGGGGCTCCGTAACGTCCCGGGACAGGTTTCCCACATACCTGAGGACAAGGAAGCAGTACTACTCGTAAATGCGCCTTTGTCGAACAGGAAGTGGCGGACAGACAAAGGCCGGCTCGGCTGCAGCTACACCATTTCCCGGTTGCATACGTTCAGCGCACCCCCGGTTTATATAAATAACTTAAGTTCAGTGTGTCGGCTGGGCTCAGTCCGTGTAGTTACCTACGAGCGGTTCTGGGCCCGTGTGGCGTTGACGTGGCCGCTATGCTAGCATGCTAAAGATAATGCTAACCGGGAAAACAGGCCTAGCATAGTAAAAAAAACACCCACATTTAACAACAAAAACAAAACCTTTACGTACAAATGCGATGTTAATAACATACACATTCAGCTATTCCCCTGAAACACACATACCACTTTAAAAGTATGCATTTAATAGCAGCCACATACGCTAGATTTCACCAAATAATGCTAACAATAGGTAGCTTGGAATAGCTACACTCGAGTCACACTTGAATTCATATTTCGTTACATTAGAGTAAAGAAAGGCAATATGTTCGTTATATTTGGTGTCACATACATTTGACGATAAACTACAATGAAAAAAGTAAAAAAAGCAATGGTCGTGCAGCCAGTTAAGAAAAAGCGATGCAGCATTTAAGATGATGCTACACTCCGCTAGCATGTGTTAGCTCACGTTTCATTTTGTTATGTATTTTTGAGAGAATCGATCTTAATAGGCAATTCATTAGTGTGTCCTAAGCGGTCAATCCCAAGTCTCCTTTTCAGGGATGAGTTATAATCGCACTTTTGCCAAAGGAAATACCCCCGGTTTCTCTCACTGAAGCAACGTGGAAAGAGTAGCGCGCTTGTACCGCATCATACAATCACATAAGAACTTACAGTGTTTTGGGCGAATCGTCCTCCATGGTCGAGCTGCAGTGGTCACGTCCGCACAGCGATTATTCCAAAGACATACAAATAGTTAAAGCTGTACAGAAAAGCACGCTGTGTCTTGTGTACGGACCGGAGTGTTGAGAGCTGCTCACACAGACAGAGACAGCCCCAGTCTGAACCAAACAATAGGAAGTGAAGATGGCGGAGGAGCGACGTCAATCTGCGGGGAAATGTGGCCAAATCAAAGCGATCCTACTCCCACACACGGGCCTTCACCTCCTGATGCGCCAATATACCACATGTATACAAGAAAATCAGGCTTTATTAGATTACCATTGTTAACATGTGTCAATGACTACATGGCATTCAATCATATATGATATTACACAATGGCTGGGATTGTGTTCTATTTTCTTTTAATTCTCGCGTAATTTAATGTTCATAATAACTAATTTATACATATTCGGCCTGATGAAGCTGTATACCTGCGTTTTGTCGGGAATATAAAAAAGCGTGCGCCGCCCGGGAATCGAACCCGGGTCGCAAGAATGGGAATCTTGCATGATACCACTACACCAGCGGCGCGATGAAGCTTTCTCTTGTATATAATCTTTGAAATTGTATAACTGCCTGACTCAACATCTGGATGATTTCTTTGAAAATGTGGAACAGATCAACCAGACCTCCATGACTGAATTAATTGAAGTCAATGTATTTGTGTTTAGCCCTAAATCAAAACAGCCGTCGTTTTGAAGGACTTTACAAAAGCCTTTTTCCACCAGCCCAAATTTGCTCTGCTCTGCTCTAGCCCGCTCTCAATTCCTTTGCCATTTGCACTAAAACCACATTGCAATACATGTGCAAAAGTACCCCAGTGTGCGTTAGACAAATACGTGAATTATAGCAAGAAGTTAAAACTACAAGAAACATTTGACACTGTGAAATCGATCAAATACAAGTGCAAGATCATTACGGTGCTTTGTTCAAACTGATATCAGCTTGTGGAGGAAGCTGTTAGCATTATGAGATGTCCTGCTTCTCAGAAAATATTGTCATCTGCCAGAGGGATGAAGCTGGAACATGGCTTTTCCAGGGGCCAAAAGAATCATTGATTATTTTAAGAGCTTTATTTAAGAGTCTGGATTTGTGAGATTTCATAACACTTTGAAGCAACTTTTGTTATAGTTAAACTCATCATTCTATCAATGTGCAGAAGCCAGTACTTTTCCCTTGTTTTGTCTATCTGAAGGCCAAGCTACATGGCACCGTGGAAGCTGCTTGATTGGAGGTCTCCATGCCTCCGCTCTGTATAATACACTTGCATTCTGTTGTTTGCTTTGTTCGTGCTGTCTCTACCATCGACAATAAAACATGTCTTCTGTCTGAATTAAAGACGCGATCCCAGACTTTGTCATCTTCTTCAGATTCATAAAGAGCCTCCAGAACAGGCAGCTCACAACTCACAGTCCTCTTGCAGAGCCTAGCACCTTGTTTAGAGCTCTCCTTTCATTGGGTGTGATGTTGCCAAACCCCACAGTCACGGAAAAAAGTAAAACTTTCAATGGTGCAGCACTGCAGGATCTTAAAGTTTGAAGTGAATGCTCTAAGGCACTGAGTGGCTTTCTTAACAAGTGTTTTTGTTCCATTGCAGGTTATTAGACAGAGTTCGCATGTGTTCAGCTCTACTCGGCTCTGCTCTACCTGTTTTAATTTCTATACACTTTAGTATCTGGTATCGTTTCCATGCAACCTACCAATAACAAACCAGGTTTGTGGGAAATTCCTTGGTAACCATGGCCTGCAGCAGCACACAGTTAGAACAGTTTAGTACCAGCTCAGCCTGTATAGAACCGTCTCACTGGGCCCTCCAAATGAGCTGCAAAAGAGCTACAGTATATTCAAAATACTGCAGCTCCAGTTCTGATTAATCTCAACCGCCACCCTCAAGGTGCTTTCACACCACCGACGCTGGAACGCTGACGCCTTGCGCACCGGAGGCACATTCTCTACACCAGAAGTCCTGGCCAGTGGTGGCGCCCGCCGGAAGAGGCGGAAGTAGCGGGCGGAAGTAGCGGGCGGACTTTGATGCTAACAGAGTTAAGCTAGCGGCTTTGTGTAAAGTTCTTCTCCAATAATCCAGCTCTGCAGTGTCTCTGTGTCCAGAGACTTTATATAACAGTAGTATGTGTACGGAGGTGCGCCATACGTTTATTTTATTATTAAACGGTACTTCCGCATCGGTGAACACGCTCAAAGAAGTTGCATAAGGTCACGGCAGCATGAAAACGCATATGTTCACAAGCACTATGTCCCCCATTGTCAACCCTGTTTTTGTCCTGGTGTAGCTTCTGTTTTGGCTGTTTACGAGTATGTTCAGTCTGCTCGCTCAGACCGCTACTGTCCCCGTGACTATTTTGCGGCTCTCTGATTGGTTGCTGCAGGAGCGTCCCGAGGAAACGCTCAGCAATATTTATCTCCTGTGTGCGTCGATTTTCCGCTCCTGCGCCTCTGCCGTGCCTTTGCCGCGCAGTCCGTGCGTCTCTACCGAGTCCGTGCGTCTCTGCCGAGACGCACATGCAGTTTGACGCTCGAAAGCGCGTCAACATTGACTATGCATTGAAAGTCGACGCAACGCATGATAAAAGCACCATTAGACACTGTGCGAACCAGCTGTCCCCAGTCGTTACTGACATCTTTAACACGTTGCTGGAGTCTTGCCACGTCTCCACCTGCTTCAAATCCTCAGTCATTGTTACCGCCCCCAAGAAGACCTGGATCATGAATCACCGGACTTAATGACTACAGACCTGTGGCGCTGACATCTGTAGTTATAAAGTCATTTGAGCGCCTGATTCTCCCCCACCTCAAGTCCTTCACCTCCCCCCTCCTAGCCCCCTGCAGTTTGCCTACAGAGCCAACAGATCTGTGGACGACGCCATAAACCTGGCCCTCCACCACATCCTACAGCACCTGGACTCACTGGGTTCCTATGCCAGGATCCTGTTTGTGGACTTCAGCTCTGCCAACCATCCTGCCATTCTTGCTCCAGGAGCTCCATCAGCTCTATGGAGTCCTTTTGTTTCCTGGGCACCACCATCACCCAGGACCTCGAGTGGAAGCCGACCATCAGCCTCCTCATCAAGAAGGCCCAACAGAGGGTGTACTTCCTGAGGCAGCTTAGTGAGGGACTGGTGCTATGTGAATTTCCCCCAACCCAGAAATGGATTTAAGTGTTGAAAGTGAATGGATGGAAGTACCATTATATTAGTCCTGGTCTCAGGGCTCTATCCTGAAGTCCTATATAACATTAGCCCAGTTTTCTGGTCTGGCTTCCTGTGGCGCTTTAAAGCAGCTCTGCTTGTGTACAAGATAAGAGATCCTTTATTTGTCCATACAGTGGCAATAAACTCCTACTGTAGCCATAGCTGCCCTGGGGCACATTGACAGAAGCAAGGCAACCGGTATGTCACACATACACACACGCATACACATACCAGCGGCACGGTGGCTGAGTGGATAGCACTCTCGCCTCTCAGCAAGAAGGTACTGGGTTCGAATCCCGGCCGGACCAGGGCCTTTCTGAGTGGAGTTTGCATGTTCTCCCCGTGTCTGCGTAGGTTTCCTCCGGGTACTCCGGTTTCCCCTACCACTAAAAATATGTACAATAGTTCTGGCATGCGCCTCCTGTTCGGCGACCCCGCTCCCATCTCTGTGTGGAGTGAGAGGACAAATGCCCAAAAAATAACAATTGTAAACCGCTTTGTGGCTCTGGTCTGTGAAAGGCGGTATATAAATAAAGCTTACTTACTACTTACTTACCAATTTCATTCTAGGCAATGTGGGTGAAGTATCTTGCCTATGGACACAACAGCAGTTTAGCACTTTACAGCCACAGCTGCCCCACTGTGGCACATGGTGTCTTGCCAAGGACACAATGACAGCAGACATCAGTCGGAGTTGTGGTGGGCTTGAACCCACGATATACAGGCTCAAAGGTCAATGCACTACCAATTGAGCCGCTGTTGCCCTACAGGGTGTCCAAACCGGTCCAGAAAGGGCCGCTGTGGCTGCAGGTTTTCTATCAGACCCAACAGGAGCAGAGTAGACTCCACCCATTTCCTCAAGAGAGTTCAGTCTTAACCTGAAGATTTGAGGAAATGGGTGGAGTCTGCTTTGCTCCTGTTGGGTCTGATGAAAACCAGCAGCCACAGCAGCCCTTTCCGGACTGGTTTGGACACCCCTTAAAGAGGACTGTTTTAAGCCTGACCTTGAATGAGAGGCCATAGCATCTATGGCCTAAATCTATTTAGGCCGTTGCCCTTTGGGCCCTTTGATTTCAAAACATGTTGGGGTTATGTCTACTGGTCCTGCACAGATGAAACAAAGCTTCTTTTTTCAATATTCCCTTTTGTTGATTTTTCACGATTTTTTTTTTTTTTTTTTTTTGCTATTAGAAATTCCCTTAAATCTATTTAGCCCTTTGCCCTTTAGGCCCTTTGATTTCAAAACATGTTGGGTTTATGTCTACTGGTCCCGCACACATGAAACAAAGCTTCTTTTTCCAATATACCAATTTTTCAATATTTTGTTGATTTCTTAAAAACGTTTTTTCATGTATACAATAACAAAGACCTGGGAACGCCTTGGGGTCCCCCCGAATGAGCTGGAGGAAGTGTGTGTGGATAGGAAAGTCTGGGCGTCTCTGCTTAGGCTGCTGCCCCTGCAACCCGGCAACGGATGAAGTGGAAGAAAATGGATGGATGGGATTTTTAATAGCAAAAAATATCATAAAAAATCAACAAAAGGGAATATTTAAAAAAGAAGCTTTGTTTCATGTGTGGGGGACCAGTAGACATCATGGATCTATAATAAGTAGACATAAACCCAGTGTGTTTTGAATCAAAGGGCATAAAGGGCAAGGGGCTAAACAGATTAGTTCAAAGTGTTGAATGTGTCGAATATCCAATATAAAACTAACTTTACCGCAGTTTCTCACTTTGAGCCACTGACTAGCCTGAAAAAAAGGCTAGTCAGTGGCTAGGACTAATACTGATTAAAAGGTATTATTATTAACACATTGACAGATTTTACAGTTTATATTGCAAAAGTAATACATCATGCACAATTATATGAAACAGTTAAACCAGTTACTGTAGAACAAGGACAAGAAGAGGACTGTTAACTTATTATATCTTCTTCTTATTTAACCTGTAATAAAAAATATATATATATTTTGTTCTATATTAGGCATTTTTGTATGTGTAACACTAACTTTTTCTGTCTATGCTTTTTCATCACACTGTTTTTGTTGTTTGTTTTCTATCTATCAATCTGGCAACCCCCTCAACAGAGGCCGAGGTAGCGGCATTAGCATTAGCTAGCACTTTAGCGCATATGTGTAAAAATGGCTTCATCTCCAGGTTGTGAACACTATGTGCGCAGTTGCTTGTTAAAAGTAAGTCATACGTTAAGTTTAGCTTATCTTCCCCCGAACACTCTTTGTTACGGGTTTATTTGGACTCCTTTATGGACTTCTGCTAAAGCCAAAATAGAATGTGAGCTGTGATGTTGTTGTGGCCATTCTCTCATTTGTTTTTAGTACTAGTTTTGAAGTAGAGCTCTATGTAGATGGTCGATGCAAATGTATTGATGCATGTTTGTCCCTGTCTGAAGGCACCTTGCTGTGGGAAGCTGTACGTGTGTAGACTGTGCCATGATGCAGAAGAAAACCACCAAATGGACAGGTTTAAAGTGATGGAAGTGCAATGTTCAGACTGTCTTACGATACAGAAGGTACAGTACGCGATGCATGGCTCTCAATACTATACACGATTAATCCGTATATTGTTTTAATATAAACAATTGAAGCTGGAGTGCCTGACTCTTTGACCAGTAACCTTCTTTAGTCCCTCTTGGCCCTGGTTCCATCCAGGCTGAGTTGGTTCTGAAGTGTTCTGAGTGACATTGGTTGCCAGAGTGAAGCTGGAAGCCATGGCTACCAGGGAATTCATATGGATACTGGTTTGTTGTGGGTATGATGCTAGGATACATTACGGTACCGAATGGGAACCACGAAGGTAGGAGCAGAGCTGAGTAAGGCTAATGGAAACAGGGCTGTAAATAATGAAACATTCTGTCTTTGTTTTATTTTGTAATATAGTGATCTAAAGTTGTTCACTATTAATGACGTTATTTTAGTTCAGTTAAGTTTGACTTTGTCGTCCCGTAGATAAATGTGCCCTCTGCATTTGACCCATCCTTCATTGCTGCTAGGGCCTCTGTTAGGAGCGATGGTTGCAGTAGTAACAGGGACCTATTGTACACGTATTTAGTGGTAGGGGCAACCGGAGCACCTGGAGGAAACCTACACAGGGAGAACATGCAAACTCCACTCAGAAAGGCCTGTTCCATGTCACCCTTATATAAAGAAGCCCACATCATCCAGAGGTTACATTTTTAACCCTGATTTCCTTTGTGCTTTTCTCACTTGTGTTTTAGGCACAACAAACATGTGAAAAGTGCAGTGTACAGTTTGGAGAATATTACTGTGACGTTTGTCATTTGTTCGACAAAGACAAAAAGCAGTATCACTGTCAGCCATGCGGGATTTGCAGGTAAGTAGCAGCGAGTTACTGCTGCAAGTTATTTAATGACTATGTTATTACCTTGACTGAGGACTGAGGCTGTAGGAAAACCTGATATATCTGAAAAACATAATATATCTTCTGATTATTAAAATCTAATTTTTGGCCTTTTGTCACACTTTTGTACCCTTAAGTGTGAACAGTGCCCAGTCCAGGACTTAGGCTAGATCCAGGACTCAGGCTATAGATCCAGGACTGAGGCCTTAGATCCAGGACTGAAGCCGTAGATCCTGGACTGAGGCAGTTGTAGATCCTGGACTGAGGCGGTTGTAGATCCGGGACTGAAGCGGTTGTAGATCCGAGACTGAGGCGGTTGTAGATCCGGGACTGAGGCGTGTGCAACCTTCCTTTGTTTTAAAAAATCCCTGTACGACTGAGAGTCTATACAAACTTATCTCCATCTTACATTTGTATGGTATAGAAGAACCAAATTACTTTATTGACTAAGAAGACAAGATGAAACTACAATCTTGCATAATACCTTTTTGGATGTCTCTCAACAGAATAGGACCCATTGATGAATACTTCCACTGTGATAAGTGCAATTTGTGTTTAGCCCGTGCGCTGGAAGGAAAGCATAAGGTGAGAAACGTACTATTTTTTGGAAGTCCATCTTTAGATGTCTGTTCTTAACGATTTCGTCTTGTGTCTCGTGTCCAGTGTGTTGAAAATGTCTCGCGGCAGAACTGTCCGGTCTGTATGGAGGTGAGACATGGCTCTTTCTTAGCCTTTCTTTCTTATTGTAATAGTTTGATTTTCAAATCTGCAATAACTGATATTGTTTTTCTAGGACATTCACACGTCACGGATCGGGGCTCATGTTCTGCCGTGTGGTCACCTCCTGCACAAGTACAAACTTGCATTCAAAAGTCATTGAAAAATAATAGATGATAATTGTTGATTTATTTATTTTTTTCTCCTTCAGGACCTGCTTTGATGACATGCTCAAAAACAGGTACGCTGTAATGACTCTCTCCAAAGCTCTATTCTCATAAACGCATTTTGTGACATTTGTGCCACAAGAAGTAGCAATTCTGTTTCACTGCAACAACGGAAGGATTGTATCTTCACTCTTTTTGATGTACTGTGATTGTTTATGATTTTTATGTCTTTCTCTTGTTTTGTTCATCACTTTGAGTTTCCTTGTGTATGAACTGTGCTATACAAATAAATATTGTGCTTTCCAGTGCGTATCGCTGCCCTCTCTGTATGCACTCGGCCTTGGAAATGCAGAACCACTGGGAGGAGATCGACCAGGAGATTGCCCTTTCCCCAATGCCCAACGAGTACCGGAATGCCACTGTTAGGGTACTTTTGGTCCTTTTCTCTAGTCCTTGTAAACATGTGATTTCTGAAATAGTTAATGATTATTAAAATAATCAAATGGTTGATGTTTAATCAATGGAGCATGACTATCGGTCGGCCTCAAAGAGATTCTGGGAAACCGTCCGGCACCTCAAGAGGGGGAACAGTCCAACACTGTATGCTGTGCGGGTGTAGAGCTGCTGACCTCGACTGGGGATATTGGCGGGCGGTGGAAGGAATACTTTGAGGTTCTATTTCTAACTTCGTTCGGTGTTTCACTTTGGGAATCGCCTTGGGCGTTACCATCCATGGAAGCTCCAATGGCACCACGTCTGTCTTTTGACAGACAGGTTGACAGTACCTAGCACTGCCCACCTACCCTAGTACAGTCAACCTCCTCGTCTTGGAATCATCCTCGCTTTCTTCCCTCGTGGAAACCATATCTTATCTCCTTCAGCGTTCTCGGACCTTAGGCTAGCCTCTGTTTAACAGTTCACAGACGAGCCGTAAAGGATTTCGTTGACGAGCGCAGTTGCTGGTGCTTTGGTTCACCAACGCTGGGTAAGTCCTTACAGTCTTACCGCTAAGCTATTATTGATTGTTACCGGAGCAGTGACCGCGTCAAGGCGAACTGCTCCTGTGTTTACGGGGACAGATCACATTAAGTTGCTGTCTGTCCTGTCACCTTGTGGTTAGCATTTGTTTGTTAACCCAGGGCTCTCGCGTAAAGCGGAGTCCTTCTGTTCGGTTGGCTAGTATTAATTTACTGGCCAACAGATTGTAGTGCGCGGTTCTGTTAACGTGTTGTGCCGAACAGAATTGGCCTGGACCTTGTCTTGCTCACTCTAGCTCTTTTGCTCTCTATCAGGCATGTCTACGGCTACCATCCCTGCTAAAGGGTCGGATCCGAAGCCGAAGGAGGCTGCATCCCGCTCATGACCCGCGTCATGCGGGTCCGCCCTCTCACGCAGGGACCCTCATCCGATGTGCATAACCTGCATGGGCGCTAAACACGCTCAAGCAGCGCTCGCTGACCGTGAGAACTGCGGGTACTGCGCATTGATGCCTGAGAAAATATTGGAGAGGAGGCTCAGAGCGGTGGCTCATCCCCAGGACCCGTTGCTGGCAGGAACCACCGCTAAAGCGCGGACGGGGATGATGCCGCTTCTGACTCCCTCGAGGCTCTGGATATGTGTGATGTGGAGGAGGACTCCATATTTCCAGCGGCCCAGTCCCGACCCTCCAGTGCATCTGAGGATGCGACTCCCGTCGATTGCAGCCTATATGATGTGTGCAAGCGCACTGCCGCCAAGCTTTACATAACCTGGCCAGCCGCTGAAGATGCGGAGGGTGGGGAAAGGCATTTGTATGACGGTAAACGGCTCCCTGCTGTCAGCGCGTGCATGAGAGAGGTTGGGAGGTTTTGGAATAACCCACTTAGGTGCAATGCTTCCTGTACAGGGCTATTCAAAGCTGGAGATCCATGGGATGAAGGAGCTGGGGTTGGCCAAACCCCCAGCGGTGGAGCCTTTGGTGGCGTTTCACCTACATCCTAATCGGCGTACCGTCTCAGCCTCAAGTCAGGTTTCTCAATCTGCATGCGTACTGAATACTGTGACTTTACTGTCTGGTTATCCAGGGGAACTACTTGAGGAAATGGGACTCCGGGTCTCCTAACCCAATCTTCTGGGAGGAAATCTGTGTTGTGAATGACCTCATCCTACGCTCTACTCGTGGAGCTGTCCAGGGCTGCGGCCATGTCATGGAACTGGCTGTTGCGGGTGAGAGGGGTCTATGGCGCAACCACTCAGGTCTGACAGGCGGAAATTATGGACACTGCTTATGACCTTACCAAAGGTCTATTTGGTCAAGCCCTGGAAAAGATGAAGGAGACCAGTACCCTCCGTAAAGAGGAGGGTGCGGCCTTCAATCTCTGTCTGCCAAGGAAATGGCAGACAGAGATGGGTGGGTGAGATCAGACTGATGGGAGGAAACGCATACAGTAGAACGGTAGAACGCGGAACAGAGGCTGTTGCTCATTTTGATTGCTCCTCGTTGGTTGTCCAAGCCATAAATGGCAGAGATATTACAACTCTTATGGGACAACCCATGGCCTCTTCCTCTGCAGAGGGACCTGTTGTGCCAGGCGGTCGAGGGACATATTTCATCCTCACCCGGACCAGGTGGGACTCTGGGCCTGGCCCGTGAACGGTGGAACTTGAACGCCACAGGTCTTCCGGCGCCGGTTATAGATATTATACAGTGTGCTAGAGCCTCCTCCACTCGCTCTTAGTATAGCTGCAAGTGGCGGGTTTTTGAGGAGTGGTGTGGGGCTAGACTGATCATTCCTTTCCAATGCTCCGTGTCTAACGTCTTATGTTTTTGCAACATTTGTTAGAAGAGCGTAAGGCTTTTTTTTCTATAAAGGTCTATTTGGCTGCCATATCGGCGTGCCACGTGGGTATTGGTGACAAAACTGTGGGACAGCACCCTCTAGTTTCTCGCTTCATGAGGGGTGCACGACGTAAACTTCCAGTGGTTAAGTCCCTGGTTCCCTTGTGGGATTTGTCGGTCGTGCTTGATGCGCTTTGTCATCACCCTTTTGAGCTCTTAGGGGTATGTCTTGAAGTATGTTGCTATAAAACAGTTCTGCTTCTTGCTCTGACGTCTGCAAAGCGCGTGAATGAACTGCAGGCTTTTTCTGTCAGCCCCTCACGTCTGCAGTTTGCGCCGGGGTTGTCGAAGGTGCGCTTGCGCCCTAACCCGGTTTTTGTACCGAGAGGTGGATTCTGCATAATAGCTGCCCTACCTTGGAGCTTAATACCTTCCATCCTCTGCCTTTCTCCTTTGAGGAGGAACGGCTACTGCACTCTTTGTGCCCAGTGCGCGCACTGCGGGTGTATGTTGACAGGACAGCTGGTTTAAGGAAAGCTGACCAGTTGTTTGTATCCTGGGCTACTCCTCATTTGGGAAAGCCGGTGTCCAGTCAGAGGATCTCTCACTGGATTGTAGAGGCAATTTCTCTGGCCTATACCTGCAGAGGTACAGTGCCTTGCGAAAGTATTCGGCCCCCTTGAACTTTTCAACATTTCGCCACATTTCAGGCTTCAAACATAAAGATATAACATTTAAATTTTTTGTCATGAATCAACAAGTGGGACACAATCGTGAAGTGGAACAACATTGATTGGATAATTTAAACTTTTTTAACAAATAAAAAACTGAAAAGTGGGGCGTGCAATATTATTACTTTCAGTGCAGCAAACTCAGTCCAGAAGTTCAGTGAGGATCTTTGAATGATCCAATGTTGTCCTAAATGACTGATGATGATAAATAGAATGCACCTGTGTGTAATCAAGTCTCCGTATAAATGCACCTGCTCTTTGATAGTCTCAGGGTTCTGTTTAAAGCGCCGAGAGAACCGTGAAGACAAAGGAACACACCAGGCAGGTCCGAGATACTGTTGTGGAGAAGTTTAAAGCCGGATTTGGATACAAAAAGATTTCCCAAGCTTTAAACATCTCAAGGAGCACTGTGCAAGCAATTATATTGAAATGGAAGGAGTATCAGACCACTGCAAATCTACCAAGACCTGGCCGTCCCTCCAAACTTTCATCTCATACAAGGAGAAGACTGATCAGAGATGCAGCCAAGAGGCCCATGATCACTCTGGATGAACTGCAGATAACTACAGCTGAGGTGGGAGAGTCTGTCCATAGGACAACAATCAGTCGTGCACTGCACAAATCTGGCCTTTATGGAAGAGTGGCAAGAAGAAAGCCATTTCTCAAAGATATCCATAAAAAGTCTCATTTAAAGTTTGCCACAAGCCACCTGGGAGACACACCAAACATGTGGAAGAAGGTGTTCTGGTCAGATGAAACCAAAATCGAACTTTTTGGCCACAATGCAAAACGATATGTTTGGCGTAAAAGCAACACAGCTCATCACCCTGAACACACCATCCCCACTGTCAAACATGGTGGTGGCAGCATCATGGTTTGGGCCTGCTTTTCTTCAGCAGGGACAGGGAAGATGGCTAAAATTGATGGGAAGATGGATGGAGCCAAATACAGGACCATTCTGGAAGAAAACCTGTTGGAGTCTGCACAAGACCTGAGACTGGGACGGGGATTTATCTTCCAACAGGACAATGATCCAAAACATAAAGCCAAATCTACGATGGAATGGTTCACAAATAGACGTATCCAGGTGTTAGAATGGCCAAGTCAAAGTCCAGACCTGAATCCAATCGAGAATCTGTGGCAAGAGCTGAAGACTGCTGTTCACAAACGCTCTCCATCCAACCTCACTGAGCTCGAGCTGTTTTGCAAGGAGGAATGGGCAAGAATTCCAGTCTCTCGATGTGCAAAACTGATAGACATACCCCAAGCGACTTGCAGCAGTAATTGCAGCAAAAGGTGGCGCTACAAAGTATTAGCGCAAGGGGGCCGAATAATATTGCACGCCCCACTTTTCAGTTTATTTGTTAAAGTTTAAATTATCCAATAAATTTCGTTCCACTTCACGATTGTGTCCCACTTGTTGTTGAGTGTTGACAAAAAAATAATTTTTTATATCTTTATGTTTGAAGCCTGAAATGTGGCGAAATGTTGAAAGGTTCAAGGGGGCCGAATACTTTCACAAGGCACTGCATAGTTCCACCGCAGGGGTTGAGGGCACACTCCACCAGGGGTGTTTGCTACTTCTTGGGGCCTGTTCCGGGGTGTATCTGTCCAGGATATATGTGCGGCGGCCAGTTGGGCATTGCCGCTTACTTTTTTTCGGTTTTATCGACTGGACGTCTCTGGCTTCTCTTTGGCTCAGGTCGTCTTGGAGCCAAGTGCATGGTGCTCGACCAGAAAAAGGTCTTGCCCTCTCCAGGTAGGTGGTGGCTTCCTCGAGTGGTCACTGTATCGGACCGTTGTGGTAAAGAGCAAGGATGGATGGATGTTTAATCCAGTGTTTTTCAACCTTTTTTGAGCCAAGGCACACTTTTTTCACTGAAAAAATCTTGCGGCACACCTCCAGGAGAAAATGTAAAAATGTATACAGTACTAATGTAAAAAAATATATACTGTACATACTCTGTGTGATATATAAAGTATATCGTATCTTATCTTATAATGTATACAGTATACTCTGTAGCCTATATTCACAATATACAGTTATTCTCATCAAAATGCTTAAGTCCAGGCCTTGACATTAAGCTTTATTTAATATTTCTCGATACAAATAACAAGAGTTTGGGAATAAAGTGGCACTAACTGTGTGGAAAAAAACTAAGAAAATCCACTCTCTGCCCAAATAGTCAAATAATAACTCACACAAAGAACATGCATTGTTAGTGCATGGGAAAAAAATTAGGTATCCGAGCTTTAAATTCAGGAGTTTTGGATGGGGGACACGGGAGGTCCTGAGTCAACGCGAGTCCATCAGAAGGTTCTGTTGTACAAAAATTGTACATTTCATAGTTAAACCACTACAACGCGGCCACAGCTGCCCCGGGGCAGAGCGGAGGATGTTAATCCTGTTCAGAAACGGCATAATTCATTTTCAAAAACGTCTCTATCACTTTCACTTCTCACTCGCCAAAGCTCTTGTCTCGCTCCCTCCCTCATTTGTTGGTCGCATCCAATTTTACCTTTCTCGCCACAATGCTGACCTGTTACAGCCAGTGGTCGCATCCAATTTTTCAGTTTCAAAGTACTTAGCTATCTGCTGCCATCTACTGATTTGAAAAAGTATTACATGGTTACTCCACAGTTCAAAACAAGTCACCGCTCGTCAACAGCGAATGCAGTTATTTTTAGACAAAGTAGACGAATTTCTCACGGCACACCAGACAATATCATACGGCACACTAGTGTGCCGCGGCACAGTGGTTGAAAAACACTGGTTTAATCAATTTGACTTTAATATTTTGGCTCTTAAAGCTGCACTAACTGACTTTGGGATTTTGAACTCGCTGGCCTCGCTCTTTCTCCTCCCCTCCCCGCACCCACAAAGCTATCGCCCCCCGCTACCGCACACCCACTGTTGTTTGCGGAGCTAATGTCTCCCAATATGGATAAATCCATGGATATGGATTTGCATGTGGATGGCGTGACCATAGAACGATAGAACCGGGAAGCGCGGAGGAACGAGACTTTCTTTTGGATGGCTGTCTCTCTGTGTAAGCAGTAACCGGTGACAAAGACAAGGAAGCTTCAGGTTAGCTCCGCCGCTTGTTGTGCTAACTCAGCTGTCTGTGTTAACAACGGACCTGTAGATTTCTCACAAAAGTGGGGGCTAGTGGTGCGCTGTGATTGGTCACAATCTGCGACCCGAAACACATTCTCTTCCTTGTTTCATCAAAACTTGATCTAAAATATGTCACGGCAGCACAAACCTGCGCTACTTTTTCTTCAAAAGGACGTATATCCCAATGCACTGCATGGACATGGATAGCATTTTTGTAATGAATACAAAAACAAAGTCAGTTAGTGCAGCTTTAAATATGACTTTTGCTTTTCATGTTTAGTGAAATTATGAAATATCTGTATATCAAAAATACCGTTGCTCGGAACTAAGATTTTTGGATGGTCCTCCCTGATGTTTCTCACATTTTTCCCACTGGGTTTCTGATTGGTTTCTTGCTGATGCAGGAGGGTCTAAGCTGGACAGTGATGATTAGGGACATTTATTAAAATTTCTGGATAGACGGTAGTCATCGCGCTCCATAAGGACCAATGGTTTGTTTGTTTCATTTCCTGTTTTCGGAGTGTTTCTTTTTAGTCCTCAGATGAGACTGTTGTTTAGGGACATACACAAATACATTAAATTGACTTATTTAGAAAAATGTGTTTGATCATGTAATATCTCACTCTCATCACTAGATGGCAGTGATTGGCCTATTCCTTTTATTCATGTTTTCTAACAGTTGTGTCAGAGTTTCTCATGTTAAACTCGTGTTGCAGATCATGTGTAATGACTGCCAGGCCCACTCCACGGCCTCGTTCCACGTCCTGGGGATGAAGTGTGGCTCCTGCGGCTCGTACAACACAGCTCAGGACGGGGGTCTGATCCAGAACCAGGTGGAACTGCCGGCCGCGGGGCAGGAGGGCAGCGACACGGAGCCAGAGACGGAGCCTGAAGCCCAGCAGAGCGCTCCCCAATAACCCACAGGAATGTAAAAACTGCATCAAAATGTTCCATCCCAAGTGAAGTGTCTTTCCTATGGACACAATTTGCACTTCACTGTGGCACCATAGACTGTATATGAGGAGTGTACTGATAGTGTGACATCACCATGTTGTTAGCCTTAATGCGGAAGAAGCCGTTTTAAACATAAGCTAGCAGGAGATAATTTCCTTATTTGGGTATTTCATCCACTTCGCTTGCTTCACACTGTAACAAGAGCAGATGCGTCGTAAGCTAGACTTTCCCCCGCGAATGAAGGTCTGATAGATTAAAGCTATACAGTTTGTATATGTATGTATATATATATAAAATACATAATACATGTGTGTCTGGCACTTGGCCTTCTAGCTGGTCTCCCATCCCAGCACTGACCAGGCCCTGCTATGCTTAGATAAGAGATAACAATTAATTACAAATAGTATTTTAACGCATGCAACTGGAACCTGTTATCAGTGGTTTGTGAAAAATCTGTTTCGCTCTGGCTCCTAATGACTTAAATGTAAAAGTCATTAGGAGCTCAGTAACCATTTGTCACACTCGTCCTTTTTTCGTCAATCCGTGGTTCAGGGCTCTCTCTGATCCTGGTGTCCATATTGTGATATAGACACCAGGATCACCACTCAGCCACTGGGCTGCCTGATATGAGACATGTAAGGGTTGACCAATCAGATGCCTTCATTTTTGAGGAAAACTCCAGCTTGCCTTAGCTACACAATTATCAAATTGGCCCCATCAAGGCTAACACTGTAGTGATGTCACACAGTGTTTTATTCTAAAGCTGTATATAAATACATAAGGCGTGTTAAAACATTGGATTGCATGTTTCTTTAGAATGTAACAATGGTTGTTTGTGGTGGAAAAATATATTTTATAGATTGTTTTGTACAACTAAAGCCACTGTTTGTGAAGGTAATATAGTGAAACAGGATGTTCTTATGTTATTCAGGCTTCAAAATTTGACTATGATTACAGCAGTCCAGTGATCCTTACAGAGGGACTGAACTTAAAACTAGGATATCTAACTTTGAACTAAACTGTTCAATGAAACTAGTTCCTGACTGTAAAACAGCTATCACTAGCTTTCACATACATGAATTTTTGAGGTCTGGGTCCTGGTCTTTGTCGTTTTCACATGAAAAGGTTGATTGTATTGAGTTTGGGGTTCTCATGAGCTTCCTTCTTCAGACCGCTCCTTTTGAGCAGAGTTGGTACTGTTCAAAAAAACATGTGTTATTGGCCTGACATGTTTAGATCAACACATACTGTAGGTCACATGTCCCCAGATAACAGGTCACTTGGTTCAAACGTGTCTTTTTGAACAGTATAGAGTTCTTAAACACACAATGTCCATAATATTTTGGTTTATCCAATCAGAGCAGAATGGGGCTCGTTTGGCCACTTTGTCAAATAGTCAAAATAGCACATTCACAAGTCATATCTTGATCTAACCGACTCAAACATGCAATTCATGCATGCCTAGAAATGTACAGCAATTGGAGGATATTTGCCAAGAATGCAGCTTTACCATCAGAGGATAAAGTACCTCATATACACAGTGTATACATTTCTCTATCAGTGTATAAATTGAACAGCCAACACAAGAAGATGAGAATAAAAATATTTATTAGTGTTTTATGAAGTCTGCATAATATGCCACACGCCTGAGAAGCTTATAGTCAGAAAAAAAGGAACTGCTCTATCATTACCGCCCTCTACTGGTAAAACGATTGCGACATCTACTGCTTTGCAAAAGAGAACTATTAAATACACACATACTGTACTACTGTTATGCATATGAAGGTCTGGTCCACGGCAAAAACTGTTATGCTTCTTTTATACTTCACATTCATATGTTGTTGTCAGACAGAGAAACACAGCGGCTGCACCAGCGTTCAGAACGTCCTCTTTCTGCAAGAACTGAGCCCAATCTGGAATGTGTGTGTGATCATAAGCCCCATTTCCACCAGCCTGATACACAACAATTCCTTACGTCTGTTATAATAGATTAAAAGGTAGGGACTCTAATTTTTGTTTCAAATATCCTGTTTCCGCTGGCCCTATTTTTCCCTACTCTACTTGGCTCAACCCTTGTCGGGAGTTTTTCTACCATGCAGCTCTGTTAAGCTGGTACCAGGTCCTCCTTTAGTCCCTCTTGGTCCTGGATAAGCCGAGCAGGTACTAAAGTGTTCTAACAAGCAGAGATTGGTCAGAGTGCTGATGGTTATCATGTAACTTCCCCAGATACTGGTTTGTTGTAGGTAGGTTGCTAGAGTAGAGCCGAGTAAATTAGGGCCAAGTGGAGCTGGTGGAAACTATTCTTGAAAGCAGGAGGAAGGAGGTACAGTTTGTGAATTTGGATGCAGCCGACGTCTGACTAGAGCCTGCCCCTCAGTGGCAGAGCCCGCCCCAGATCCCACCTCACTAGAAGCACGCAGCGTACAATCACTAGTGCCATTATTAATAGTAAACAACATTTACATCAATATAGGAGAGCGGGGACAGGGTCAAAACAGCCACGTCATGACAAGAATGAACTTTAAGCTAGGGATAATAAGTCTTTGTTGTACATACTGTTATTTTTATAGACAGAACGAATACGATACGAACATTAACACTTCCATGTCCCCGTGTGCAGACCAGGGACAGCGGTTACTATGCATGGAAGAAGTGGTTTTACTCCCATGTTACAAAAATGAGTCCAAGAGTCGACCTAAAAACCCGCTCGAGTTAAGCACCAAAGAGGTCACATGTGTTCTTCAAAAATGAGATTGGCTGTCAGGCGAGAAGGCGTTTCTAACGGTCGAATAAAACAAACAGAAATAAAGCGGTAGTGACATTATGGACCGTTATGTGTATTTGCTAGTCAATTCTGGTTTAAGATCTGTGACCAGGAGAGTGCTGCCGGCGCCTGACAGCCTCGTACAGAGATGAGTGGAGCCGTTTGCTACAGTACATGATGGTGAAAAGAAAAGTGAAACGGCCGTAAATGTGGATAAAGACATGAGATTTGGGTACATTGCTTTGTCTGGGGCTTTAAAGGAGAAGTTTGTGCGTGCATGAAGAGGCAGTAGTCATATTTTTTTTTCTCAAATGTTCTCCTTAGCGTGGGCTGAATGTCTGAGGCGTAAGGTACTACGTGCTTTTGGTTCCACTTAATGGTCACGAGCCAGTATGTGAGACTTCTACTTCTATCAAGTCATTTCAACATATCTTAACATCAAAACAATTAATTTTCCAATTATAACATTGTTGAACAGCTCTGAGGAAACATGCAGTTCAAGCAAGGCAGCCCAGGAATTTACAGGAACTGGAGGCATTGCCAAGAAGCATGTGCAGCTTTACAATCAGAGAGAGGCTGTGGAGACCAGAGTGAGAGATGAGACCAGAGAGTCAAGAGAGAGAGACGCCTAATAGAGAGACCAGTGAGAAAGAGAAAGAGAGACCAGAGACAGAAACCAGATTCAGACTACTTAGGTGTGGCTTATATGTGGACCAAACAGTCCCTCTCTTAAATGCATCTGGTGAGGTTTGTACACAGGTGCGCCTAACAGTCCAGCAGGTGCTGTACTTAACATGACATGGACAAAGTCAAACACGATCCTTCTATGTACCTGTATGAGCACATAGCACCTTATCCGTTGAGGTAAATGAGCGTAATACTCTTTGGTTCACAGCACACAAGACAGTAAAAAAAACCTTTTCAAACTTCTCCTTTAAAATCCACTGGTTCTTTGGTAAAAAAGCGGAGGGAGGCTCCAGACGGGACAGGGCAGTGACACCGGATACAGTGATCCTTGCCCTCCACTTTTTTAGAAACAGCTGTGGTCTTTTTACAGATATTACTTTTAATAATAAAAAGTGAACGACAGAAAGTATTTAAGTATATTTATATATAAAAATACATGAGAATACAAAAAGTAGCAAAACAATGGGGATATCGGCTGAGAACAAGATGAATCTGTTGATGCCTTCAGTACCCGTCTCAAAAGAGGAAATACTACGATACAGAACAGCTGATCCGTCTGGTCCCTGCCCAGTGCACCTAACACCAGCCTAATGCTAACGCTTTGAACCAGGCGTCGTCCAGCCAGGATGCAGATCAGCTCCATGAGACATCACCACCAGTGCCATATAATGACAGTACGTGACTACAGCCAGGCCCAGTTTGGTTCAGCTCATTTTAAAGAGAACGTCTGTAAGTTCATTGTGCCTCGCCTTCATAGAGTGTATATAAGTGTGACATCACCGTAGCAGTAGCCTTAATGCGACAGAGGCCAATTTCAACATAAGCTAGCTAGAGCCTGTTTCCTTATATGGACATTTATTCCAATGTTGTTAGCGTCACACCTTAATAGACCTGTTGGTAAGGCAAGCCGGAGTTTCCTTGCGGAAGAAGGCATCTGACTGGTCAATCCATATACGGCTCATATGTGGATTCAATTCATGACAATATCACAATATAAACACCAGGATCACAGACAGCTCCTAAAGGAAGGATTTAATCTCAAAAGGATGAGTGTGACACAAACGGTTACTGAGCTAGGAGTTCACCTTTACATGCAAGTCCTAATGAGCCACAGTGTTGGAGCAAAACTTCACCACGAGTACTTCCCCATTGGGCTTCATTGAGCTCGCGGGTTTGCAATTTCCAACTGTATACAATCTATGATTCATAACCACTAATAACATCCAAACATTGTGCTTTTTTAGAGATAAAATAGGTCCTTTAAAAGTTGCGGTATCCAAGTTCTCAACTAATAGGTCTGGCAAAATATGGCTTAATTCACGGGGAAACTCCTGCTTGCCTTAGCAACAAGTCTACCCAGAGAATAAAATTGGCTCCAGCTAGCTTACGTTCATATCAGCCTCTTCCGCACTAAGGCTAACACTACGCTGATTTCACACTTGTTCAGTCCACTCCTAATTTACAGTCTGTGGTATGAACACAGCCACAGAGCCCGAGTGGCCTCCTAAACTCACAGACAGCTCTTACACTAACATTCCTATCCGTCCATTATGCCGCATGTCCTATAACGACACACACTGACAAGTTTTAAAATAAAGAAACAAAGCCATACTGGCCAAAAAAAACCTAATAAAGTCAAAAGAAACAGCGGAGTCCTTTCCACAAGCTCAGATTCATACAAACATCATTGTGGTCATCCTCTCAAAGGCCACCAACGGCAATCGTCGTCAAGCACAGTCCCTCGCACACAAACAGGGGGCAGAGTCGAGCGGAACCACAACGCTTCAGTTTGGGCAAAGAACTAATCACTTTTAAAGCTTGCACTTTACACAAGCTACTCAATACTGAGAAACTATTCACAAGTTTTTGGTTTTCCCCGAATCATTCGACTAAAAACGAATATACATTTCATTTGTACCACAAATAGAGCTAATATTAAAGTAGTTTTTTGTGTTTTTTCTTGGAAAGGGGAGCAATTTCAACAAGGTGCATGACATAAAGGGGTAAGAAAGTGCCAATTTTTAGAATGTGTCTTAATACGTTTGGGTGAGTGCAAAAAGGGTTTTGAGTCAGAGGGATGTGGACCTGAGCCACGTGAACTTTCAGTACTGTGGGATTGGACAGGATTCTTGGGTGGAATGATTACCAAAGAAAGGACTCGCAGCATACAGGGATAGTCAAGACAGGCAGGCTTTTGGAAAACACATCCTCAGGTCACTGGTGTTTGGAGGTGCACACTGGAGAGCACAAGCACTTTACTGCCATTCAGCTGATTAACTTTCAGCATTATATATTATCTAACAGAGACAAGCGAGAGACCAAAGAGTGGCCAGAGTCTAGAGGGAACCAGAGAGAGACCAGAGGAAGACCAGGGAGAGATGACCAGAGAGGTTATTTGGTTCTTCTGTACAAGACAGGAGAGCGATGTTATAACCTTATGAGAATATTAACAATCTCTATCTTACAATTGTCTGGTCTAGAAGAACCATATAAGTTCATTCTACAAAAGAAGACAAGATGAACTTTGTTCAACGATCTCAATAGCCTCCAGTCTGCTCCTCAAAACCAAGAGCTATCTTTTTAGGGGTTTTCTCGATGTTACCATTGTGTGTGCAAAAAGCCAGCCGGTACCAGACTGTCCCGTTCAGAATGGGTGAGATCTTTGTATGTTTTTGGGAGCTGCTGCTTAGGACATACTGGAGCAGCGAGCCGAGGGGGAGCCCATCTGGGTCAGCACCTTGTCCAGCCACTGAAGGGGGCCGTTCAGGTGCAGCTCGATCCAACAGGGTGTGCTCGTCACCGTCTGTCGTCTGGGAAAAATACACAAAACACACACAAATGAGAAAAACACACACACCCCTTAACATGCAGGGTTCATACAGCTTTTGAAGTGTACATTTTAAGCACTTTCAAGGTAAAAATTAGAGCTTTTTTCCAGGGAACCGACGTTTTAAACAATGTAAACAATAATCGGAATACATTAATTAAATTGGATGCACTTTCGCCCAAGAAAACGTTGCTGTACAACTCACCAATATAACTGTGGCCCTGACTGGGAGTAAACCAGTCAGGTGTACTCCCAGGTGTACTTCACATTAAACTAAAGCATCGGTCAATTTATCGCCACCGACCATAGACCTACAAGCTGGGGACACGCGCCCCACTATTTGAGAAGGACAGGTGTAGGTTAATATCACTTTTAGACTAACCCCCAAGCAACATTTTAATAGGTGTTGGAGTTGAAATACATTTTTACAAATTACTGAATGCTATTTCCCATAGCCTAAAGTCCTGGTGTTATATTAAAACACTGTAAAGTTTGAGAAAATCAAGCAGATTCAAGCACACGGTTCAAATATCAAGCACAATCCAGACCTTGAAAACAACTTATTGAAATGCAAGCATTTTCCCAACTTTCAAGGATCTGTACAAACCCTGAACATGAGACACACACACACAAACAATCTGAGCCCTCTTTCTGGTCGACACAAGATTACTGCATCAATATTCAGATACTGCTTTGACATTTGTGAACCTTAGCTTTTCCTCGATCCCCAAACAAAACTGCGATGGGTATGTTTGGACACACATTTCTCGAGCCGAGAAACGTGGAATTGACTCAGCTTTTGGGTATAGTTTGAGTGAAAGTCACTTTTGGAGGCGGTATGACACAGGTTCCATGGAAATGGTCTCCCCCGGCCCAGACTCGTGGGTTACTCCCTGTTCCCCCTCTGGGAGCCTCTTCAGTGCTGTGTCTCAGGTAGAGGATCCAGACTCCGCCTCGGGCCTCACCTGTACTCTGCTCCCCAACCTTTGACGAAGCTCATGCGGATGGTGCACATCCTGGTCAGCTGGTACACGGCCTCGAAGCCCTGGTTCACCGACTGCGCCAAGAGAGCCGCGAACTCCTGGTTGTTGAAGATCTTTAGATTACAGCCTGAAAACATCAAGCACAAGTTCAACTGTTGTAGGCTTTTTACAGCAAAACATGCAGACACAGACAAAGTGCAGGTTAAGGAACAGGAGAAAAAATATATCACTGCCTGTTTTTGTACACTGTGAGTCAGTGTACAAAAACAGGAAGCAATATATTTTTTCTGCCTTCTTTTGAAAATTTTGAATGATAGTGCAAAGACACATTTTATCACTTATTGTTAGTGGTTCTGTGAGGTTGAGGTTAGCAACTCTTCTGACCCTGATCATAAGTCTCCATCCTCAGTATATTTTTTGTTTCTGCTGTTGATCCTACAGGGGATCAATAAAATATCTATCCATCTAGTTTTCAGTAGAATGTGTTGCCCTTTAAAATCTATGACTGAAATCTCAGTCAAAAAATCTTTGTGGGTGAGATTCTTTCTCCACTAACTCTGGTTCATAATAACCAAATTATGGGTAAAATAACCACATTTCTGCTTGGGTGTGTGCTCCTGAGCTGTGACCCTGATGGTGGGAGGGCGCAAAGGGGAGCTCTTTACCTGGAGGTATTTTACACACTGTCGCCGGGTGCCAACCGTACCGCTGGTTGCAGTTTGGACTTTGGACAAAGATGGCGCTATCACTCAGGCACTCTGCAAACACTTCTCCTCCAATGTAGTAAAGTCGAACTCCTCTTCCTGCCAAGACAATAACACACACAAAAAGTCACCTTCTACCTTCATAATAATGGTATAATATTGATGTAGAGGTCGGCCCAGCATATATAAATGGCTGATTTTTATTTAATTGTGAAAATTGGTTCTCTGGTTATGGTCATTAATCAACATTTATGGACATTGGTCATCTGCCACTAATAGGCAAGTGGCTCATCATTGGTTTATCATTGCCTTTCTTGTGTTTGATTCTTTGACCTGTGTTGGTGTAACAGTTTTGTTAAGCCCTCCGTGGTAACTACTGTTGTGATTTAGGGCTATACATTGAATTCAATTGAATTGGTCCCTCACCTCCGGTCCCTCTCTCCATTTACCCTCTGGTCACTCCCTCTGGTCACTCCCTCTGGTCACTCCCTCTGGTCACTCCCTCTGGTCACTCCCTCTGGTCACTCCCTCTGGTCACTCCCTCTGGTCACCCCCTCTGGTCACTCCCTCTGGTCACTCCCTCTGGTTACTCCCTGTTTACCCCCTCTTGTCACTCGGTCTGATCCAAATCTCACCAAAGGGACCATTTCCCAGGTATGCCCTTTCACTGACCTATGTGTCTGCGGGTCATCTCCACTGTGGCGTTCCGGTTAACATTGGAGAGCAGGCCCAGACAGAAGCGCTCGGAGTTGGAGGGGTCTGTAAAGCCGTCCACCGTGAGGGAGGGCTGGGAAGCGTGAAAGGTCTCGCCCACACGCTGGTTCAGCTCGTAATAGGCGATGGAACACCAGAACGCTGGCTCTGAGTAGGTCACCGGCTGGAGGTCTGGAGAGAACGCAGAGAAGTCACACCATGGAGTCTTACGCCCAGCCTCACTCTGCTCTACTCTATTCTCGCCAAATTGGGAGAGATTCCATCGGCCCCGTTTCTGGAAGCCATGGTTAACAAGGGATTTCTGTATTTTCGCAACCAGGTAGAGTAGAGTAGAGTAAAGTTGAGTAGAGCTGAGTAGAGTGAAGTAGGGCTGGTGGAATATGGGATTTATTTTTACTCATGCATTTAAAGCTGAGGGACCCATCCTTTATTCTTTCAGAAATAATAAATGTTTTGTCCCAAGCTTTCTCTTCAGCAACAGTAGCTCAGTTGGTAGAGCAGTGGCCTTTGAGCCTGGAGGTCGTGAGTTCCCACCATGGGACCTACTCCAACTGCTCCCACTGATGTCTACTGTCGTTGTGTCCTTGGGCAAGACACTTAAGCCCACGTTGCCTGAAGCCCCGCTGAAAGACCAAGGCTGTTTCACCACTGACAGAGCAGCCATCTTCCTGTGGACTCACCCCCTGCAGAAGATCAGCGAGGGACTGGTGCTATGAGCATTGGGTGGCAATGCCATGACCCAGAAATGGACAATAAAGGGCTTGAAAATGAATGAATGAAATGAATGAATGTTGTTTCACCTTTCTCACAGTTGTTAGGGTTTCATAATAAAGAGTAAATGTGATGACAGACATAATGACATGTATAGAATGTAGATGTATATGAAATTTTGGGCCGATACCAGTATTTAACCGGTATCTTGGCGGCTTCAGTTTTCCGTTGTTCTTCAGCTTGCATGCAATTAGGGCTGGGCAATAAATCGAATTTAGGCAATTAATTGGCTTATGAAAAAATCGAATTTGTGAAAGATGTGAAAATTGTGAAATCGAATGAAGGATATTGTGAGAGTTCCATAAGCACATGAATTATACTTGCAATATCAGCACAGTGTGCACTTTTTAAATACATAAAAATATTTTTGAAACTTGAATATTGTGCGGAAAGATTAAAACATATTTTTAAGGGCAAAGTCTGTCTTTGGTGACTTTAATGAAAATCGATTTAAAATCGAAATCATCCAAAGCAGGAAATAAAAGCGAGATTTTACTTTTTTGCCATATCGCCCAGCCCTACATGCAATCATTGTGCACCGCCACATGCTTGCTTCTTGCCACATCACGCACGGTGCGGTAGGCCGATGAGTACTCAGCTAGACCCGTGAGTACAAAGTGTTTCATTTACCTCACCGCGCTTTAGAACATTCTGTGCAGGAACGCGTGGCTCGCACCGGGGAGTGTGACAGGAGCGTGTGAAAAACTAAGGCTTAAAGAGCGACTAAACACCTGTGCCCAGCCTTACTCCGCCCACATGAAGATTTGAAAATGTTCTCTAAAAAGGGCGTTGCCTGGAGGACTAAGGGACAAGAAGAGGGGCTTAGAGTTGGGCGTGGTCTGGGCTGTGATTGACAGCTCACTTGTCACACACAAAAAAAACAGACAGTTGTCATTGCTGCTTAAAGCAATAGTTTACAGACCAGAAAGTCTCATTCCACCCTTGTTTACACACTAAGATAATTGTAAAGCTACACACCTGAACCTAATCACACTCAATAATCTCAGAATGGCTCATGTAATTTAATTTTAATCCACTAGATGGCACCAGAATACTCCAAACTGCAGCTGGGGCGTGTGTGAGAGTTGGATGGGTTCACATCACTGGCTCTGAAAGACTGACGTCACACAAAACAACTGATGTCATAGAGAACTTCTGAGTCAATGGAGAGGCCAGAACCAAATTCAAATGTAGTACCACCAAAAAGGTAGAGAGGGCACCACACAGCGTTTTTTGGCTCAAAAGTGATATTTTATCTAATTTGAACTAAAATGTCAAAAAAATGACCAGGATATGTAGACAGCACTACAATAAACATACTTATGCAGTTTATGAGTTTAAAAAAGTTGATTTGGTGTTTAGTCGCTCTTTAATGACACGGGGAAAGCCATGACTCCATCACACAAACTGCATCACGCTGATCTTTTTCTGATACTGAAAAATATTGCCACACAGCCGCCATCTTCTTTGTTTCTTCTACTGAGGAATACTAAGGAAAATGTGCGGACGCCCTCTACCATCTGCGAATGTCTTTTTTTTACCGATAGCCAATGGTTGTGAAACAAGGCAAACATTGGCTGATACCGAGGTTCATCCGATGCACCGGTGCATCCCTAGTATTTTTCCCAATATCTTGACAGAATGTATGCTCCTTACCCATACTATGGCTGACAGGGGACAGAGTGCTTGGGGACAGTTCCGCTGGAGAACCTGGAAGAAAAAATGTACTCAAATGTTTGACAAAAAAACAAATAATAATTTTTTAGAGTGGGGCAGCCCCAGGTTTGATAATGGTAAGTCCACTTCAACACCTTTTTAAGACGTTTTTGATGCCACTAAGGTCAATAAAAAATTTACGGAAAGGTAGGATAAGGAAAGAGATATTTTAAAGAGGAACAAGAAGAGAGGAGAGAGAAGAGAGCAGGGAGGAGAGAGAGTTGAGAGAAGAGGAGAGTGATGAAAGTTGAGAGAGGTGGTAATTTTGTTGTGATGGAAATTAAGCTTAATAAGTAAGTGCTCTGCTCTGACGCACACAAAAGAGCTGGATTTCCTACACACAAGAAGAACAGGAGGTGTAGGAGCAGGAGAATATGTTAGTGTAAAGAAGGAGGAGTAAAAGGTGTGTAGGAGCAGGAGCAAGGGGAGGTGTTTAGTGTGAAGGAGCAGGAGGTTGTGTTAGTGTGAAGGAGGAAGAGCAGGAGCTAGTCTAAAATACCTGTGTCCATACTTTGATTCATCTGCTGATCGCTGGCCTCTCCATCCTCGCTGATGTATCCTGGAGGAGGCGTTTCTGCATGGAAACAACCCAAATACACATTAATAATGAAAAATATTGTACATCTTGAGCAGCAGCTCTACTCCGAGATACCATGTGACTGAGATCCTCACCTCTAAGAGAGCACATAGGCATAGCATGAAGAAACCTCATGTTTCTCCATGCTTTTGGTCACTCCCCAAAGCTCATGACAACAGGGTGGGAGTTGCTACAGATGCTGCTCCCTCTTCACCAAAACAGTCCAATACAGCAACTGCATCACTGCAGACAGTATCGGATCGTCGGTCAACCTCACCTCCATCAAGGACCTCTGGCCCCTGTGGTCCCCAAACCGGACTCCATCTGGCTGCGCTTAGTAGAACAGAGCTGGTGCCAAAGCGCAGGCCTGGGGGAGGTTTTGCCGATGACCAGGTACTGTACTCCTCTATGTTGGAGAGTTTTGCTGCTTACCTGGTATGTAGTTGCTCGGGGGTTCGATTCCTGCTGGAAAGTTTGTGTTCTCAGGGATGGAGTGAGTGTAGTCGTCCAGGGGGGGAAGTTCAGTCAGAATCTCTGAGTGCCGGGGCACCAGAACAGCAGGCAACACTGCAAAGTCCAGCAAAAACGTGGGTTTCATGATTCAAGACCATATGTCTGATTGCACAGAAGCAGACTCACCTGGGGTCTCCACCCTCTGGTAGTGGTAGGGGTTGATGCACACCTCGTCCTTCTTCAGGTGGAAGGAGTACTCGCAGGCCTCAATGGCCCTCAGCTCATGGTGACTGTGCAGGTCAGGCCACCTCCAGAGACGGCAGTAGATCACATGAGGGGGGGTCTTTCTGTGGGACACCTGCAGACGCCCATCCAGGGATCTGATTGGACGAGAGGCAGGACACAAATGGAGACAGATTGGTGTCTAATCTGTGAAGTATTGCTCCATATTTCCTCAAGTTCATTCCTAACTGTAGCTTTTAAATCGATGTGGGTAAAACACAGCAGGAACTCACTTGCTGTGAAGAATGATAGCCCATTTATAGATGGACAATGCGTTTGTTTAAATCACAGTCATTTTGCCTGCTTCATTATTCACCAGTTTGTTATAATCCCCACTTAGAGTTATACAAAATATCCTTTTGGTTTGAATGGGAGCAGTCAAATCGACGACTCTGGAAGTTCCAATGTTAGGATCAATTTAGGTAACAACCATTTCGATACAAAATGAGTTACAAAATTGCAAAAATATTACAATAATCAATAACTTGTTACAACACCTGTAAACCCCATAACGGCTGGAATCACAATAGTGCAACAAAAAGGAGACGGTCAGAGAGGAGCAGGGCAGAGAGGAGCAGAGTAACAGAGTAATGGGAGACAGTGATGCACAAGTCCTCCTCACCTGGTTTGGTCGGGGTAACTGTACCGGCCTGAGCTGTCCCACTGCTCTATCGTGTGAGGTGTACTGAGGCCCCATATCTCAGAGCAGTTACTGAAACCACACACACACAACAGGGTTAAGAGTATAAAAAAAAAAAAATTGTCATTGAGATAGAACTCACAGTATGATGCAATTATAGTAAACATCGATCATCAACTCGGACCAATTCTTTTCACACTCTACATGCTGCCACCAGGTAACATAATTAAAAAGCATAGCTTTAATTAAAACACACAGCTTTACCTGTCGAGGAAACCAAATCAGACAGATCAGCTGAAAAGGCTTAAACATGGATGACTTAACTTTCTACTGCTTAAAAGGGACCTATTCTCATTTTGTTGGTAAATTTTGGTATTTTTTGTGTTAAATAAAACTCATTTTGACAGATAGAAACCGCTAAGGGTGAAACTATCAATAATTATCATGCAAAAAGAAATTCGCGGAAAAATTGCCAAGACCGGAAGTGACGTACAGTGGGGCAAAAAAAGTATTTAGTTAGCCACCGATTGTGCAAGTTCTCCCACTTAAAATAATGACAGCGGTCTGTAATTTTCATCATAGGTACACTTCAACTGTGAGAGACAGAATGTGAAAAAAAATCCAGGAATTCACTTTGTAGCAAGATGGCGCCGTGTCATGGCGCCGCAGTGAGAGCTCTGGTGCGCACGATCTGTGTTTTGCTGTTTTTTGTCTGTGAGTAACTTGCTGCTGTGAGATATGACCGAGAAACACTTCTGTACATTCGGGACCATGCGTGTGACGGGTCACTCGTCTTGCCCGAACTGAGGTGCATTAACTTCCTTGAGTGTCCCACTCGAGAGGCCCGTGGAGCACGGCAGGCGGGCCGCGGCGGTGGCCGCCAACAGAGCGAGGGGACTGGGCGTCTCCGGCGTTCTCTCCATGGTGTGGAGCTGGGCACCTCGAGTTGGCGAAGGAGGCGCAGACACCCGAGAAGGCGAGGCGGTCTGCTCGTTCGTAGCCGCTCCTCCAGGACCCCTTTGCCCTCCATCTACCTGGCCAACGTCCAGTCTCTGCCCAACAAGACGGACGAGCTCCTGTGTCGGGTCCAGAGCCAGCGCGAGGCCCGGGACTGCGCTGTGTTCTGCCTCAGCGAGACGTGTCTCCACTCGAACGTCCCGGACTCTGCTGTTCAGCCCCCGGGATTCACCGCTCACCGCGCGGACAGAGTGAAGGAGACCACGGGCAAGGCCAGAGGCGGAGGTGTGTGCTTTTTAATTAATCAGCGCTGGTGCACGGACACTCGAATCGTGAACCAAACATGTACTGCCAATCTGGAATTCCTGGTCTTGAGCTGCCGCCCTTTTTATCTTCCCCGTAAGTTTCTGAGTGATATTTTTATGTGCGGTTTACATTCACCCACGTGCGAATTACAAAGTAGCCCTACAGGATCTGAGCGAGATCCTTCACAAACATGAGTCTGCTCATCCTAACGCAGTCATCATTGTTGCTGGGGATTGCAATAAATGTAATTTAAAGACTGTACTCCCGAACTTTTACCAACATGTGACTCAAGCTACAAGAGGAGCACATGTTCTGGATCACTGCTACAGTAACGTGAAGGGAGCTTACAGGTCTAGTCTCAGACCTCCTTTTAGAAAGTCTGACCACTCCTCTGTTCTCCTTCTTCCTTCGTATACTCAGAGGAGCAGGGAACATAAACCAACCTCTCGCACTGTGCAGTGTTGGTCTGAGGAGGCTAGCATGAAGCTACAAGGTTGTTTTGATGCCACAGACTGGACTGTGTTTCAGTCAAGAGGACGTCAATGAATTCTGTGACGCGGTGTCTGGATACATACGCTTCTGTATTGACTGTTGTGTCCTACAGAAGGTCAATAAAGAACGTTTTAGTCAAAACCCTTGGATGAACGCGGAAGTGAAACTGAAACTTCATGAGCGTGCGTTGGCGTTTCAATCAAAGGATACAGTTGCTTATAAGCTATCCTGTTACTCATTTAAACGCTCTATTAAATCTGCAAAGCGCAGTTACGGGGACAGTTATTTTGAGGAAGATGACCCTCGGCGCATGTGGAACGGTATTAAAGCCATCACATCGTGGAAACCTAGTCCTGGGAAAATTGCATCTGTCGGCCAAGCTCTGCCAAACGAGCTGAACACGTTCTACTGTCGCTTTGAATCCGCTGATACCTGTCCTACTGTATTCCCTGAGTGTTTCAATCAAGTTGCCTTCACCGTGACTCAGGAGGAAGTCAGGCGTGTCTTGTCCAGGACCATAGTCCGGAAAGCCCCAGGCCCGGACGGCATCCCTCCTCGTGTCCTGAAACTGTGCTCTGAGCAACTTGCCCCTGTGCTAACAGACATTTTCAACCTGTCGCTAAGGAACTGTACTGTGCCGAACTGCTTTAAAAAGTCGACCATCATTCCAGTTCCTAAGAAAACTCCTGTGACATGCCTGAATAACTATCGTCCTGTGGCCCTCACGTCTGTTCTTATGAAAACTTTTGAGCGGCTTGTGCTGGACTTCATTAAGAGCCAGATCCCTGTGAGTGTTGACCCGCTCCAGTTTGCTTACAGACAGAACAGGAGTGTGGAGGATGCCATCTCGTTTGCTCTGAACTCTGTCTACAGTCACTTGGACACTAGTAAATCTGTCGCGAGAATGCTTTTCATCGATTGTACAGTGCCTTGCGAAAGTATTCGACCCCCTTGAACCTTTCAACATTTCGCCACATTTCAGGCTTCAAACAAAGATATAAAAATTACATTTTTTGGTCAAGAATCAACAACAAGTGGGACACAATCGTGAAGTGGAACGAAATTTATTGGATAGTTTACACTTTTTTAACAAATAAAAAAACTGAAAAGTGGGGCGTGCAATATTATTCGGCACCCTTGCGCTAATACTTTGTAGCGCCACTTTTTGCTGCAATTACAGCTGCAAGTCGCTTGGGGTATGTCTATCCGTTTTGCACATCGAGAGACTGGAATTCTTGTCCATGCTTCCTTGCAAAACAGCTCGAGCTCAGTGAGGTTGGATGGAGAGCGTTTGTGAGCGTTTGTGAAAGTTTGGAGGGACGGCCGGGTCTTGGTAGATTTGCAGTTGTCTGATACTCCTTCCATTTCAATATAATTGCTTGCACAGTGCTCCTTGAGATGTTTAAAGCTTGGGAAATCTTTTTGTATCCAAATCCGGCTTTAAACTTCTCCACAACAGTATCTCGGACCTGCCTGGTGTGTTCCTTTGTCTCCATGGTTCTCTCTGCGCTTTAAACAGAACCCTGAGACTATCAAAGAGCAGGTGCATTTATACAGAGACTTGATTACACACAGGTGCATTCTATTTATCATCATCAGTCATTTAGGACAACATTGGATCATTCAAAGATCCTCACTGAACTTCTGGAGTGCACTGAAAGTAAAGGGGCCGAATAATATTGCACGCCCCACTTTTCAGTTTTTTATTTGTTAAAAAAGTTTAAATTATCCAATACATTTCGTTCCACTTCACGATTGTGTCCCACTTGTTGATTCATGACAAAAAATTAAAATGTTATATCTTTATGTTTGAAGCCTGAAATGTGGCGAAATGTTGAAAGGTTCAAGGGTGCCGAATACTTTCGCAAAGCACTGTAGCTCTGCTTTTAACTGCCTTGTTCCAGGTAAACTAATTGAAAAGCTCATGTCTCTCGGTTTAAGTGTTGCCATGTGTAAATGGATTTTTAGCTTTTTAACTGACAGATCTCAGAGAGAGAATATCAATGACTGTTTTTCTGATGTAATTTCTGTGAGCACTGGTTCTCCTCAGGTATGTATTTTGAGTCCTTTGCTTTTTACTTTGTACACTCACGATTGTGTGTCCACCTCTGACTCAAACTTGATCATCAAATATGCTGATGACACCACCATCATCAGTCTCATCAGTAACAATGATGAATCCTCTTATAGAGCAGAGATACAAAATGTGGTTCAGTGGAGTAAAACTAACAACCTCCAGTTGAACGCATCGAAAAGATGTGAACTGGTCTACGACTTCAGTCGCAATAGTTCTCATTTGCCTGTCGTAATCGACAACTCCCAGGTGCAGATCGTAGAGGACTGCAAGTTTCTGGGTTTAACCCTATGAACCCGTCTACATTGGTGCCGATGCATGCGCACATGTTTTACAAATGATCAATTTACTCGCGAACGGTAAAACGTAGCAACTTACTTTTTTCCCCTCTGCGAAGTACACATTCAAGGCTTTCCGAAACTTGATTTGTCTGTGCGATGCACGGAGGATAAACTACGTTTGTCGAAAGTCCGTGTCCAAAGCGTGACCCGTGAGGTACAAACAGCTGTGAGATACAAACACACGGGGACTGCCAAAGATCGTCAGAGAGTGAGATTTCTCACGCCTCTGTGTGTACTTGTTCTCCCACAGTTGAAACTACAGCTGCGATTGCAATAACCGGCTGAAACGTGCGCATTATTGATAAAGACGATAATAAATACAGTAAAATGACATGTGTATTTGATGTATATAAATATATGTATTATATAAATAATTGATGTTTGTTTATTTTTTTTTGTCTCAGTTTATGTTTTACGTTTTTTACAGCTGTGCTACAGAAGCAACCCCAGCATTATAGACAAACTGCTTCAGGAAGGGCATCAGGAGTACAGAGTTTTTTGCTTTTATAGTGGAATTTTGTAAAAGGTATAATAGTTAGAGATAATTTTTTTCCCCCATTATCCCCAAGTCCCTAAATAACATTTCTATGCAGTGTAAAAAGTTGTTTATAGCATTTCATTGTGTTTTTTCAATACATTTTTGTTAAATTGATTTTCCGTTTAATTTTTTTCTTTGTCTTCATGATTCCATAATTTTTATATAATTCATATGACAGCTTTACAATATGAATATTCTAAAACCCCAGGTTGTACTGAAAAAAACAAAGTATACTGCTTGACTCTGCATCAAAAGATGACTGTTTTATGAACAATTATACACCAAGAAAACCAGGCGAGGAAAGTTCCCCAAAATGACCCATGTGCATAGAGGGTTAACTCTGTCTAACGACCTGAAATGGGTT